CAGTGGCTCATGTCTATAATCATAGCTACTAGAAGGCTGAAATCTGAGGATCACGGTTCAAAGCCAGCCTGGTCAGGAAAGTCTGTAAGACTCTTATCTCCAATAAACTACTCAGAAAAAGCCAGAAGTGGTGCTGTGTCTCAAGTGGTAGAGTGCTAACATTAAACAAAAAGAAGCTCAAGGACAGCACCTAGGCCCAGAATTCAAGCTCCAGGACCAGCCCTCCCCCCCCAAAAAAATTTAGTTAAGTGCATCCATTGTGTTAAGCTTGCTCTGGAAGACTATAGACACTGCACGATTGTGGAAGAGAATGCAGACACTGCAGGAATGTGGAAGAGGCTGCAAACACCACGGGATTGTGGAAAGCTACGGATCTGTCTGTAGCCTGAGTGTCTGCACTGCGTGGATCCCTGCTTGAATGTATTTGAGATCAATTTAACAAAAATGGTTACTTAGAGTCTTACAGCCTTTTCTACCTGGGCTGGCTTTGAACTTTAATCCTCCAGGTCTCAGCCTCCCCAGTAACAGGGATTACAGATGTGAGCCAGTAACACCCAGTTGGCTTTGCACTTAGTGAAAATCACACTCAATTCCAGTGTCCACCAACTGGAGAATAATATCTGGGTTGTGGCATTCATCCTATGGCCCATGTGGTGATGAAAAAGAACAGGCCACTGATGAAGGAGTAACAGATGTCCCTGACATGACAGAGAGCCTGACTCACGTGACTGCACCTGCTGTGATTTCATTTCTGTGAAGTTCAAAAGCAGGCAAGAGGGGTAGATATTGGTGATGGGGAAGCCAGAATACTGGCTCTCTCTGGGCCTGTGCTGGGGTAATAACAGGAAAAATGAACGTGGGAGCTGTCTGTGGTGCTGAAACTGTTTTCTGTGTGGACCCAGGAGGTGGTGGCAAGGGTGGAGACATGAAAAAACTCATTTGGCTGCACACTGCCCTCTGCTGCTATGCCCATCGGAAGCCAGCATTTATTTTCAGAGTTGGCCTTCTGGGGTTCTGGGAGGCAGGAGGTGCTTACTCTCTGCTTATTTTGCGAACTCCTGTGTGTATTATGGTCTTTGCACCTTATTGTGTGTGCTGTTAACAAGAGACAGAAAGTGTCTTGCTCTGTGAGACTCACAACTTTAAGGGTGTTGGATTTTTTCCTCTATTTCAGTTAAGTATTCAGTGCAGATGAAAGTTAAATAGGTATCTTTTTAATCCCTTTATTTAAAAAAAAAAGGCCTCATGATTAACAGTTTGTTCTGGGTGAATGAGCCATGCCACTGCCCGCAGCCAGGCTGGCTGCATTGTGCCCCTGTGCAGACCCGCCCACGCCACATGGCCACCCTTAGCCCTCTGTCTGAACCACTGTCCCCAGTCCTGTTTTTCTTTAGTTATTTTTTAGACAGAGTTTAGTGTTTTTGCCCAGAAAAGACTCGTATTGTGGTCCTCCTAGCTATGGCCTCACATGTAGCTGAGATAAGAAGCCCTATACCACCATGCTCAACTTATTAATAGTTTTTTGTGTTGGCTGACTTCATGAACTGCAGTTCTCCCAATCTCTACCTCTGGACTAGCTGGGATTACAGGTATAAAGCACTGCTCCTGGTCTGCAGTAATGTTTTTAAATGTACAAAATAAAATATACAAGATTACATAGTGAAGTAGTCAGGCCAGCATCCTGAGCTGGTTTCCCCTCTGTGTGGTCAGCTGGTGGCTGATGCTGACCGGTGAGCTACACCCTGCCTGGTGGCATAGTGGAAAGAGCTGTGGACCAGAAATCCTGCCAGGGCCATGTTTAGACAATGGGTGGCTGTCAATATGAGTCCAGTCTCCACAGTAGGCGAGAATGAAGAAGGCACATCTCCACTAGGCAGTCAGAACTGATGAACAAAGAAATGATGGACAGCGGGAGTGTGTTTATCTTGAGATGCTCAGGACAACCCTCACCTGCCTGTTGTTCCAGCCAGGTGTGCAGACCCCAATATCATGACCACCTGCACTAAGGAAGGGACATTGCTGCACTCTTCAGAATTGTCCTTGTCACTGGGGATGTGGCTGAAGTGGTAGAGGACCGACCTGTCCAGTGCAAAGCCCTAAGTTCAAACCTCAATGCCACCAAAACCAAACACAACTGTCCGTGTCAGAAAAAAGAAAAGTGTCTAGAAATGGTAGAAATGTTGCAGGTGAAGGGACCCTGAAGAGACATGATTACAAAATGATCATATAATGACAGGGTAAATGGCTTATGTGTGAATCAGCTGGTTAGTTTGGAATAAAGATGGAAAATTATCATGTGGATATCATGTGGATATTCAGTCCACAGACCATGATAAAGCTGCATTGTGGATAGGTAAGAAAATACCTTGAATGGTTCAGAAAAAAAAAAAGATGTATATGTGTGTGAGAGAGGGGGGGGAGAGAGAGAGAGAGACAGATAGACAGACAGACAGACAGACAGACAGACAGACAGACAGACTATCTGGTTTGTCAGAGACAGAACAAAACCTTGCAAGAGACGGATCAAACAAGCCAGTGTACTAAAACATTATCAGCAGTGTTTATGCACACTTAAAATGATTTCTAAATAAAAATGTAATTATACACATACATGTAGAAATAGCTATTTTAAAAAAAAATCAAGAAAACCCCCAAACAGCACAATGATGTAGAAAAAAAAAAACTTGAACCCACAGTTTTACTCCCAAACAGGTTAAAAAGACAGAACATAAAAAAGGGCACAAAAGATGATGTAATGGCTAAGATTAAAAAAGAAAAGAAAGCACCTCTGAAATGAGAACTGGCTTCAGTTCCAGCTCTGCCGCTGGTTACCTCTGCGTCCTAGGCGACACACTTACACTCCCTCCGTCTCCACTTCCTCACCGGAAGAAAGGAGTTAAAATAGAATCTCAGAGAGTTGGCGGTGGCGTTGGAGATAATGCATGTAAAGTGCTTCGCCTGATACTTGGCATTTAGAGCGCTCAATAATGTCAGTGTTTCCGGACGATGGCAAAGACAAAAAGCGCCCTCATTTCTGTCATAAACCAACACAAGCCTGAAAGCAAGACAGAAATGACTACAGAGAAGCAGCTCATCTCATGAACAACTCTATACATCAGTCATTGCTTATTAAACAAACAGTACACCCTCAGCTAGGAGAGGGATTGCAGAAACCCAAGAGCTGTTCAATGTGGGAAGAGCTGTTGCTATGTGCGCTGCATTACATCACCAGGATGTCCTTCATTTCACCTGCTTTCTCAAGACTTGCCTCTCCCTGAAAAAAAAAAAAAAAAGGCTTTTGATAACATTTAATATTCATTCCTGAGGTCTCTTTGCAAAATTCTTCAATATGATCATGACAGAAATTCTTTGGTATGATCACAAAACCTATCACAAATATGTAATAGGATCACTAGCAGCAAGTTCATTAGAAAGCCTGTGCCCTCATTGTGGGTGGTCATTACATGACTCCATGTAGATGGCCACAGAGCTCCAAGAGAGCAGCATCCAGGCGTTCAGATAAATGGAAAGCTTGCACAGTGAGCTGTGGACAGTTCAGACATTTCTGTAAAGGTATTCAAAGCCTCATAAAGGCTGGAAATGACAGTACTCAACAATTACAGTGGGGTCTGTTGGTACATTTCCAGGGGAAATTGATCTATACGCCATAGCACACATGAAAATAAACACTAGACAGATTACAGAATGAAATAGAAAAGTTAAATTTTCATGACATCTGGAATATAGAGGTAAATAGTTCCAATGACAGTGGTATGGGGAAGGATTTTATAACATGATACTAAAGATAGGAGCCATAAGAGCAAAATATTCAAATATATCAATGGCCAAAATCACTGTAAACAAAATGAAAAGGAAAAATTCAGTCAGAAAAAAATGTTTTCCATCTATTTTAAGTACTTTATCAATAATTAAGAAAACAGGCCATACAATGATAAGGAATCTGACACAGATAATGCATAAAAGGAGAAGTGTAAATGGGTAATAAATATGAAGGAAATGTTCAATCCATCTGAAATACAGACACAAAATGCACACAACACTGAGATGATATTTTTGCTTTAAATTGGGCAGACAGTGCCACGCCATTTAGGGAAATGGCACATCAGCCTCCACTGAGGAACTCTGATTTTGTACCAGTCTTCCTAGATGTCAGACTGGTACCATATAGATCATTGATGAGAAGCATGTCCTTTGGCAATGCAATTCAACATCTAAGAATCTACCCTAGATATGGATTACTAAGTGTGCATAAAATGACACTAGATGCTCTTCACAACTTTATAACAATTTACAATCCTTAAATGTTCTATTGCATCTGTATAATAATTTAGAACAGGGCCACTAATATTAACATTGCGGATAAGTGGTGCCTGCCTATAGTTCCAGCCCATGGGAGGCTAAGACAAGAAGTTTGAGCCTGCCTGGGCTATATAGCAACCCTGTCTAAGGTTGCCATTGCAGAAGTGTGTTGACTGACATGGGAAAATACACTAAGTGAAAAGGCAGGTTCCAAAACTGTGTGTGCACTATGATTCCCTTCGGTAAGAAAAATACATAAAACTTAGCAAAGCATTCGTATTGAATATCTTTGGATTTTAGTTATTCCTTGTATCGAAACACATTCCTCACATCAGTTGGATACTTTTTATTACATGCGTATGAAGTTCTACAAAGCATATGGATTTGAGTAAAATATGCCTGTAGGGGACACTAGCCCCAAACGTTGTGAAGCCTGGGTACCAGAAAAGGGGAGGTGCCTATGTTCAGGTTAGAACTCACCAGGCCACTCCGTGCTTTCTCCTGCACCCGCAGACCTCCAGAATTCTTCTGAGATGTGAATGTGTACTGTCTTCTAACAAGGACACGTGGTGACAGCTCTTGTGTGTATGTGCTTTGAACAATGGTGTTTTCAGATTCATTGCCAGTTTCTGGTTTGCTTTCTAAATAAGTCTCCTAATAGCACAACTCTTCCATTACAGAATGCAACCACTCTGCCAGGTACTTGGCGAAGAACAGACGTGCACTTAGAGAACCCAGAGTACCACACCAGATGGTATTTCAAGTATTTCTTAGGACAAGGTAATTATGCCATCGTGGTGGTGGGGAAGAAGGATGCTCAAGGGGAAACAGGTGCTGACGAGGTGGGGCCTGGTGTGAGCATGCAGCTCAGGTAGGCAGCCCACCCGCAGCCCACCGATAGAGGTCAAGGGGGCAGCTCAGAGTCAGCCTTAAGAGTACCCTTGATTTTTGGCTTTGCTTTCTCTTCTTTTTTGGTTGCTTTGTTTTCTCTACTTTTTTTTTTTTACTTCTAATCCTGGGGAGTTAAAGGGGATTCAGTCATCTGAATAGGTACTTAGAGAAGAAGAAATTTAGGTTAGTAAAACAACTTTGAAATGTGCAAAGTAAGCTCTCTACCTAAAGTGACTTTTGGACATTTAGTTGAAGGCACCAGGGGTGAGAATCAGTGCCCAGAGCTCCTGTAGCACTGCAGGCATTCTGCTGTTCTGGCTCACTTAGTCATCAGTGAAAAACCATCTGCCAGGCAGTGTGTGATAGTGAGGTCATGTCACAAAGGCTCATGTAGAATGGGCTTGCACCATGGTTCTGCTGTGATACACCACAGGACCTTACGCAGTTACCCTACCTCACTGAGACTCAGTTTCCCTATTACTAGGCCCTGCCCAGAAGGTTTGAACAGAAGTTTCAATGAGATGTGCCCATAGCCAGCACCCCCAAGAACTCTTTTCTGTTAGCTTTTAGACACTGTACATTTAGAGTGAAGGATCACAAGATGGTTAGTGACAAGATGTTGGACAGGAAGGACCATCAAACCTGTGGGATCAAAATGAGTTAGAGAAAATACTTATTGAGCTAATGCTCTCATTTGTAGAAAATAGGATGCCTGGACTATGAAATGAGAAGGTCTTCTCAGTTCATTTAAGAAAAGTCTTCTCATATCCTTTAAGAAATCTTAGAGTACTACTCTAAGAAGTTCATGTATTTGGCCAGGCAGAATTTACATGAGTAGGCAGGGGAAAAGAGAAGCACTTATAAAGAAGGAAATCAGCAAAAAAGCTGTGTAGGTGTGCAACATAGTGCTCAACACAGCAGTGGTCTCACAGAAAAATAGTGCTATGAGTGTAGACGTCACCGACTGCATATAACAGAAAGCCTGACTCAAACTGGCTTAAACAAGAAGGGGTAGAGCAAGGGTGGGCTCTCAAGCTAAGGCCTTCAAAGGTCCAGGGAGGTTAAGGATCCAGGCCCTTCCCCCTCCTATGCTTTGCCATCCTTATTGTGGCACCTTGGCCCTCCTCAGGGTTACAAGATGGCTGTGGCAATTCCAGGCATCACTTCTAAGAACTACCATGTCCAGTGGAGGGAGGCCATCTTGAGAGTGAAAAACCGGCTTCAGAAGCCCCTTGATAAGAGGTCTCCTCCTGTCTCATTGGCCAGTGTTGGGTCACATGTTCATTGCTGAGCCAACCACTGGCAAGGGAAGGGGAGCGCATGATGAGAGATGGTGAGCTGGATCCTAGTGAACCAGTTTGAGATTATTCTGGATCCCTGAGCATGCTAGAAGGGCTAAGCTGCATCCCCTGGTAAGGATGACTCCAGGAACCTGTCAGGCTATACTCTCACTGTTCTAAACCTGTTCTTCTTCCAGTCCATCAGAATTACATTGGGAACGATGCAGAGAAGAGTCCCTTCTTCTTGTCTGTGACTCTTTCTGACCAGAACAATCAGCGTGTCCCTCAATACCGTGCAATTCTTTGGAGGAAAACAGTAAGTGCCTGGCTTACACTTGCAGTCTCCTCACGATCCAAAGTTTAGTTGGCAACATTGTCCATAGTTGGCAGCAGAGGCCTAGCGAAACCTTTTTCTGTGAGATTCTGGCAGTTTGGATATTTCAGGGTTATTCTAGTCTGAGATAAGACTGCAAGCTCTGACATTAGGAGGAACTTCTTCCTTATCTATAAGCCACTAATGGGATGGGTTCATTTCTCTCTGTCCTGGCCTCTGGGAAGACAGAAGTCTGTTTTTTAGAGGTTTCAGGTTATTAACCTTACCTGACACTGAATGCAGTGAATTGGCTCACCTTCAGCCAACAGAGCAAGTGCTGGGCTGTGCTCCTCCTGTCTTTGTGCAGTGCTCAGCCAACTATGACAGCCACCACTCTGCTAGGGTCTGCCTTAGACCCCACCTTTCATCACTTGTATGGGTTAGAAGAATAATTGAAGATGAACTAGCAAATGCAAGGTGGGTTTGCAAACACCTACTTGGAGCAGTAAGCTGGAAGCTAATCCCTTTCACCTGGAGACACTCAGGACACACATGGCTGCCTTTTCTCCTGTTTCCTCAGCTCTTTCTGCTAATTCTCAGATTCGTCTTTGACTCATTTTTAAAATTTGTTTTCCTTTGAGGAGAATTTTTACAGACAGCATGGTATTCCAAAAAATACACATACATACAAACACACCTGCATGTATGCATACAGAAAAAACAGTAGCAACTTCAAAAATCCCAGAAAGATTCTCCAGGACAAATTGCACATCAAACTGTAATTAGAAACTTTTTATAGTGGTTTAAAATAGTTAATGCTAATAACAATACAATCTAATACTTATTGAGCACTTACCATATGCCAGGTGCTATACTAAGTCCTCTAGACAATTACCTTAGTAGATACCATTGCAGTCAGGGAGATTAAATGGCATAGCCAACGCCACAGCTAGTAGGGGGCAGACCAGGCAGAGCTCAAGGTCTCCACCATTGTACATAATTAATTCTGTTTGTAAATCTCTGACTCATATCATTTCTCACACTCAAGTATGCACTGATGAAAGTTAAGAACATGTCTTCTGTGTCCTCAGTTTACCTACAATCTAGCAAAGCAAATTAATAAATGACACCAGAGTTTGGCTTACCCTCTGAGCTATGCTACCTCTACCTACATAAACTCCAATGGTATGTTTTAGGGCTTTTTTCCTTTTTTATTTATTTATTTATTTATTTTTGTGTGTGCTTGGTCATGGGGCTTGAACTCTGAGCCTGGGCCCTGTCTCTGAGCTCTTCAGCTCAAGGCTAGCACTCTACCACTTGAGCCACAGCACCACTTCAGTTTTCTGGTGATTAGTTGGAGATAAGGGTCTCATGGACTTTGCTACTCTGGCTGGCTTTGAACTGTGGTCCCCAGATCTCAGCCTTCTGAGTAGCTAGAATTACAGGCGTGAGCCACCAGTGCCCAGCTTTTTTTCCTTTTTAAAGCAAGTTTGGAGTAAAAATCTATTAGATGTTGAATCTTACTAGTAAATTATTTCCTGCAGAGAAGTGTCGCACACTCCCTGTGCCACCGTAGCTGGGCCCATCAGGCAATGGGCACAGCTGAACTGGATGCAGAGCCCAAGCCACAGACATAGGAGACCATGCCGGGTTTCTCAGCAGCAGCTCAGTGAGAGCTAGTGAGAGGTAGCCATGGCTTCCTCCAGAGCCTCTCATCTTCTGCACCAGGCAGGCAGTTTTCTAGTTATGTTTTATTTTGTTTATTTGATTGTTGATCGCAGCATTCCATTCTCTAACGGTTTCAGTATTCGCTTTGAGATGCCTCTGTCTCTGGACAGTCAGTCTTTCGGAGGCTTCTTCCTCTTCCTGTTCCCCTTGAGGTTGGTATTTGGCTACTTGGGCCTTGTGGTAGCAGAAGAGGACCTTGGGTGCACACGGCCTCCACATTTTTTCTGATTTTCTTTTGTGGAGTGATTGTCTGATCTCTGAACTAGGGACTCCTGAGCGCTAACTGGTCTTGCACCTGCCCCCAGCATTAACTCCTTCTTATGATATCCCTCCTGGGCTTAGTCCCAGGGTTCTGCTAGTCTCTGAGCCTCTCAACCATTTCCTGCAAGCCATAGGCTACATGTCAGAAAACAGGAGTGTCATCTTTTATACACAGTATGATCTCTTTGGTCACCCACACTGGCAGCCACCTCACCTCTGCCCTTCACCAAGTTCTGACAAATGTCACGTGAACCTCCCATTTCTGGGAAAGGCATGCCTAGGAAGTGGGCCTCTTCCCAGATGCTCTAGGTGCTCCAGGACTGACCTTGCTGTGCTCATCCAAGTCCTGTCCTGGGAAGGCCCTGACATCTATCCACTTAGTTTTCCAGGCCTCTCCCTTCTTCCTCCCTTCCACAAAGGCAGGAAAAGGTAGTTTCTCCCCTCTCTGCCTGTCTGGAATAGATGTTCTCAGCATTGTGTCTTCTTCCTGTAGGAAGTAAAAATCCTTTTAAATGGTTGCCAGGTGCTGAGGGAGAGAGGGAGGATAGGACAGATTCAGGAGGAAATTTTTATCTATTTTCATCTCTGAAGCTGCTGTCCATTATAAATGGTGCTCTGCACCCTGAAGAGAACAAAGGTAGCAAATCACCCTGGAGCCTGGCTGCAGATGAGAGATGGGGAAAGCTTCCTGTGCGGTGCCATTGAAAGAGAGATCTATACAAAGTAGAAGAGGAAGCAGGGAACTGCTCCAAGCAGAAGGAACCAGCAAGGGCCCCACTGTGGAGTTACTCTTGGTTTAAACTGTAAGACCATTGTGAAGGAGGCTTAGGCTGGCATCCGGAGGAGTCCCTTGTACTGAGCAGGGCCCCGGCCTTCCTCAAAGCCTCTTACCTAGACCCTATATCCTGTACCCAGAGCTAGGTGTTGCCTGGCTACAAACACAAGTGCTGAAGGGAGGGAAGGGACTGAAAAGATCCAAATATTAGCAGAAGTTGGTTCTGAAGCCCTCCTTGGCTTCTGTCTGGAGGCTGAGAGAGCCCCACAGTGCTGGACTGCGCTCTCTCTCACCCAGCCCGGAGCTCACCTTCTGTTAAGTCCTAAAAAGCAGTTAGAAAAATAGCAAAATGACAACCCTACTTTAAACAATCTGTGTGTCTGTGCTGGGCTTCTTCTCTAAACACAGAAAAGACTTTTTATAAAAACGATTCACACTGACAGTAAAAAAAAAAAAAAAAAAAAATCATCCATGCAATACAGTTTATAAAAAGACAGGGATCAAAGTCCAGCCACTCAGAGGTGATCTTACAACATTCTTCTAAGATGTCTGTCCATGTACACGCATAGCCTCACACTCACACACAAACGGTTATGTGAACAGAAATGCTCAGCTCACACCTGTGTGCCTGCAGTGTGCTCGCCTCATCTTGCCCTGGTTTGTCTGTGCCCTGACTCACCACCGGTAATCTAAGACCTCCTACTAGGTCCTCCCCTTAAAGATCTTACCACCTTCTAATAGTGCCTCCCGCCTGTGGCTGAGCCTTTAACACCAAGGCTCTTGGGGGGCTACTCTTTCAAAGTATAGTAGATGGCTCAGCTGCTCCTCACAATTTCACAGAAGGACCTGTATCTTGAAGAGTTGGGCGGAAGGGAAGATGCTATCAGCTCTGAGCAGGATTTCTTTCCCAGCACAGCATGTGTTTATGCCTCTCGTAGAGCAATGAGAAAGATCAGACCTGGTTTCTTCAGTGGCCTGGTGAGGATCCGTCAGAGATGGAAGTTTTTGGACTCATCACTGATTCAGTGCTTTGACTTTTCCAGGGTACCCAGAAAATATGCCTTCCCTACAGTCCTACAAAAACACTCTCTGTGAAGTCCATCTTAAGGTGAGTTCTGGTGAGTGGAGCCACTTCTCTGGCGGCAGGCCTGGATAGACCTGTTCCTGGGACCATTCTAGTTATTAGCTTTCCATTGAGCCTTGGCACCATGCCACACCCACCAAGCAGTTGGCACATGCCCCCATGTAGTCCCCACAGCAGCCCCACAAGGCAGGACTGCGATTGCCCCCACCTCACTGATGAGGAAGTGGGGATTCAGAGAGAGAGTGGGACCTCACAGCTGGCCCATGTTGGAGCTGAGGCCTGAGCTCCCGCCCTGAAGCCCGCTCCTGTCTGCATTCCTGGGCCCACTAATCTTCTCCTGCATTCACTTGGCACTTTGGTTTTCAAATGAAAGTCAAGAAATACGTTTCCTTTCATTTTTTTCTACTTTGAAATAGAAACCCACATGTCAGCAAAGGCTCTCCAAGGAGAATGTGCCTATTCTTTGCCAAACAGAAAGTTAAGTGATTGGAACATCTGCCTGCTCCCCGCTCAGCCGCCTCTCAAGCCCCTTTTCCTCCCTGCCCCCGGTTCTCCCATGCTGTGGTGGGGAGAACTTCCCTGGGGAAAGCCGCCTCTCCAGAGAAGCAAGTCCCCTGGCACCAGCTAAGATGTCACATCGTGCTAACAGTAGCGTCTTTGTCTGTCTCTGTGCAAAACGAATCACAGGCTCTCTCAATAAATCTTTAAATTAGCTCCAAGAGTAGCCCTCCACTCTCTTATCAGCATCAGCTTCAGAAAGGTAAAGCGATTTGGCAAATGCCTTGCTGCTGGTGAGCTGCCAAGCAGGGATTTCAATCTAGGTCCTGGGGCACCAGAGCTAGGGCTGTTCACTAATGCCCTCTCACGTAGAGGACAAAGCTTGCCCTTTGCCCTAGTCTTTCCCTCTATTTGTCTGAACAAGGTTGTGGCCGATGTTTCAGTGTCCCCAGGTAAGTATACCCTGTAGCTGGAACATAGGGACCGGGATGTGTCTTCAAGTGACAATCAGTTAAGGACTGTAACTGGCTGATCAAGTGGCACCAAGATTAAGAAGTAAAATCATTATATCCCATTTGTAAACTTGATTTGGTTTCCAAATTGCAGGCCTTCTCTTACCTGCTCTAAGCCTTAGATTTTTCTCCAGAATAGTCTGAGGCCTAAGTTAAAGAAACAGTGGCAAATAGATTAACTTTTTTGTTTTTTAGTCGGTCATAGGGCTTGAACTCTGGGCCTGGGTGCTGTCCCTCAGCTCTTCAAGCTCTCTACCTCTTGAGCCACACAGCGCCACTTTCCGGTTTTCTAGTGGTTTATTGGAGATAAGAGTCTCACAGACTTTCCTGCCCAGCTGGCTTTGAACTGCCATCCTCAGATCTCAGCCTCCTGAGTAGCTAGGATTACAGGCGTGAGCCACCGGCACGCAGCTTTAGATTAACATTTTTATTGTTGTTGTTGAACACAGCGATATCTTGCTGGCTGTAAGGAATAGTTCATTTTAACTTACTGTGAAAGTAATACTTTGAATTACAATGGCTTAAGTGTTTCTGTGAATTTTTTTCTCCACTAAAGTTACCAGGCTCCTTCCTTCTTTATTTTGAAGATTAGATGTTTCTCTCTTTTTTTGTTATAATTTCATTCCCTTGTATGAGCAGGCTCTATCTAGAGCCTATAACAGTATGATTTTAAAGATGGGGAAGACCAGCCAGGTGTGGCAGCTCCCCTGTATGGTAGAGACCTAGAGATGGAGATTCAAGGCCAACCCAGGCAAAAAGGAGTTTGAGACACTCCATCTCAACCAGTGGCCGGGTATGTTGGCACATACCTGATATCCTAGCTGATTGTTATAGTACCGGCTTGTCCTCCCCAGCACTTCAGGTGTGCACAAGGTTGGCCTAGACATAAGGCAAAAACCTTCCTCAAAAATGACCAACACAGGCCTGGGAATGTGGCTTAGTTGTAGAGTGCTTGCCTAGCATGCATGAAGCCCTAGGTTCAATTCCTCAGTATCACATAAACAGAAAAAGCCAGAAGTGGTATTGTGGCTCAAATGGTAGAATGCTAGCTTGAGCAAAAGAAGCTCATGGACGGTGCCCAGGCCCTGAGTTCAAGCAGCAGGACTACAGCAAGAACAATAATAACAACCAACACAGAAAGGTACTAGCAGTGTGGCTCAAGTGGTAGAATACCTATCTAGCAAGCATGAAGCCCTGAGATCAAGCTCCTGTACTGCCAAAAAAAAAAAAAAAACGGAATAGTAGGAGAAGGGTGGAAGAGGGTCAAGGAGAGACTCAAACCACTACAGTTGATGTCAACATAGCCGGGGAGGGTCTTTTTTTTTTTTTTACAGTTCTGGAGCTTTAACTCAGGGCCTAAACACTGTCCCTGAGCCTCTCTGTGCTCAATTCTAGCACTATACCACAAGCCATAGTGCCACTTCCAGCTTTCTTCTGTTTATATGGTACTGAGGAATCAAATCCAGGGCTTCATGCATGCTAGGCAAGCACTCCACCACTAAACCACATTCCCAGCCCAGGGTCTTCTTTTGTTATAAACATAAACTTGAAAACTTCTTTCTTTTTTTATGTCAGAATCTCTTTATGTAGCCCAGGTTGAACTAGGACTCATGGTCAGCCTGCCTCAACAGGAGTCAGATAAAAGGAGTCAGCTAACTCCTGGCTCTGCCACTAATCAGCTTTGTTGACCAGTTATTTAACTTCTAATCCTTCAATTTCTTCAACTTTAAAATGAGGAGAATACAACCATGATTTTCTAGAAAATAGAGTTCTGAAGAGCTGAGGCTCGCCTCACATTAGTTAAGCTTCCACTACCCTTATAATTCATTCTATTCATTCTGTTTCAGTGCCATGAATCTGGACAAGTTTGAGAAAGGCCCAAGGGAAATCTTTCATCCCGAGATACAAAAGGTACCAGAAAATTCTGTGTTTCATAATTGTGTGAAATGGATTACCCTGTCAGGACAGAGCTGGCACGGGGCAAAGGACAGAGCTGGATCACCTGTGTGTTTTCTTAAATCACCCCATGGGAGAAACACAGGCTGACATTCTGACCTGCTAGATTAATGGCTGAGAATCTGGATTTTTCAAATGCTCTTTGACTAGTGCTCATGTGTAGCGACAACTGAGATCACAGAACTGCAGGCCCTTGATCCATGAACAAACAGGGTGTGTGTTCACCAAGAGCCCGTCTTCCCCTGAATGATACAGAACAACGTAGAATATGAAAAAGATCTTCAGGAGTTAAGCTCTTACCCATTTAGCCCATTATTCTGGGCATCAGGGAGGATTAAGAGTGTCCAGAAAGCCATCCCTGTTATCTTAGGACTTGATGCAAAGAGAGAACTGTGCCCAGGGAGGGGGGGGGGAGGAAAGTAAGGTCATAATTTGGATAGTGTTCATTGGAAAAATAACCACACTTAGAGCTGTCATCAGTTTAGCTTTGAAGATTTTAAAATCCCTGGAAACATAGACCAGACATCCCTGCTGGTATGCCAGCCTATGGCCCAGCTGGGAAAACAAGGGAAGGGGCTGGAGGGGCAGCTTGGAATTCCATCCACCAGGCAGCAGGGAGCTGGGGGAGGAGGAGCTTTAAGACAGAAGCAGAGTGCTTAAATTCACTTTTTATTTTTTTTAATTTACTTTTTAGAGAAATAACTCAGGATACAGTAGATTGATAGGTGAATGAGTGATCTGACATTTAAGATATAGATAGCTTTGAAAATAAGGCTCTTAGCTCCTAGCTTAACCAAAACATGTAGAATTGAGAATTCCTATATCTTTTGTTTTAATTTTTATTTTCTGGTCTGAGAGCTTGAATTCAGGGCCTAGGCACTATTCCCTGAGGTTTTTTGGGAATAACACTGTACTGTTTGAACTCCACTTCCAGCCTTTTGGTTATTAATTGGAGAGAAGAGCCTCATGGACTTTACTGCCCTAGCTGGCTTTGAACCATGATCCTCAGATCTCAGTCTCCTGAGCTAGGATTATAGATGTGAGCCACCAGAGCCCAGTTTTGTTTTGATTTAATTTTTAAAGTAGTATTTTTACCACGTGCCAACTCCAGAAAAAGCTCAGGCCAAAAAAGAGGTGTGGGGTTAAACTAAGGAAACTTAGGCCCTGCTTTACCTCTAAGTAGTTGGATGGCAAATTTACACACGAATGAGAATTATGAACATGTCAGTACTGTGTGCCATTATCACTTACTCTTAATCCTTTCTTTCTTAGAGCCTAACAGTAACCCACACTATTAACTCTACTTTCAGACATAGACCCCAAGGCCTGGAGGCTGACCTGTGGTATTTTTCTTAGCCTCTTGCTGCTGGGTAAATCCCCCTGGCAGAGTTCACCTCTTCCCTGCCAGCCCTAGCTGCTTTCTCTCTGCAAGATCAGAGGACAAAAGATTCGACAGCTTTTAGTCTACCTTGCATCACCCTTGCCTGTTTGTTACCAAACCAAAGATCCTCTAAAACTTTCCCTACAATTGCATTTTCACTTTTTCCCCTTGGGAGTGAAGCTTACTCTATGGAGTTGGGTTATTTCAATCTGCCATCAGATTCCTAGTGATTCCCTTAGGAGCCATTGACAGTGGGCTGCAAGGCCAGGAAAGAGGCCTTAACAATCATAGGTCCACAGCGTGAGCATAAACTAAACCCAAAGAAAGCGTCTTCCCCAAAGAAGGAAAGTGGCAGGTGTGATTGAATGTGTTCTTCCTCTGTTCCTGGCTGCTAGGAGAGCTGTAGTAATATCATTCTCCATCAGTCCCTTTCCAGAGGTCATATGTGACTGAGCTTAGCTGGAAGGAGGTGGAGAAACCCAGATGTTATCTTCCTGCTTTTCTCCATCCACTTTGGATAGTTGGGGTAGGACTTTCCCAGATGACCAGGGATTATAGAAAAATCTGTAGTGCTAAACTTGAATATTTAAGCATGTCAGGGTTTTAATATATATATATATTAAATTTTAACAGTGTTGTCAACCCCAAAGCAACCATTGGTCATGCTGCCATCAAGAAGGGCCAGTGGGACTGTATTAAGAAACACCATTAGTAGCCAAAATTAGCCCTTCTGAGCTCCAATTACAAACTGGGGAACAGCAGAAAGAGCCCTAACTGATACCAACAAATTTAGGAATAAGAATATTTCAAAAACCTGAATTGTGCCAAGCACTGGTGGCTTGTGCCTATAATCTTATCTACTCAGGAAGCTGAGATCTGAGGATTGCAATTCAAAGCCAGCCCAGTCTGGGAAGTCTGTAAGACTTGTTCCAATAAACCACCAAAAAGCCAGAAGTGGTAGAGCTCAAGTAGTGGTAGAGTGCTAGTCTTGAGCAACAAAAGCTCAGGGACAGTGCCCAGGCCCTGAGTTCAAGCTACGGGACAGACACACGTGCGCATGCATACACATACACACACCCCGAATGGTGTCAATTTGGACATTGCCACACCAGAACCCATGGCAGGAGCAACTGCTTCAGAAGAGACAGAATTTGAAGTTAGGAAGCTCCAAGGGAGAGTGACTTGACAGCCCGTGACACCCCTCCGGCCCTCCAGGCTTAGCCAGGACACCTGGTACAAGGCTGGCCACAGAGGACAGCTTCATCACCAGGCCTGGCGTCACAGGAAAACATCCAGTCCTCATAGCAGCTGGGAAGCTGACAGATGTGAGCCTCTGGTCTGTGCAACACAGCTAGTGCAGAAGGAGCACCCAGGCTCCAGATCTAGCAACTATCTTCCTTCCAGGTCACGTGGCCTTCACCCAGGCCCTGCCCAGCCTCCTGTGCACCACTGTAATTCCAGAACAGTTAAATGACATCAGTGGGTGCTTGAGAACACACACACACACCTATGAAAAGGGAAACTGATCACATGCAAATTATGTAGATGTTTCAGTGTAAGAAAACAGTTTTTTCTCAGAATTTGGAAATGATAAAGACAGTTAAATTATGAAAGATGCCTCCTGTGAAGTAAGCTGGAGGTTTTGTGTGCCCCCCACAGTTCTTTCAGAATTGTCAGGTCTCTGTTGGACATGGTCCACTCAGAAAGCCTTGGGCAGGGGGACTGAGGCTCCTCTGCCTCCTTTCCCACCTGTCCCTGCCCTCCTCCCCATGGCAGCTGTGGCTTGCCTGGGCTGCCCCCTCCCTCTCCCTCGTCCACTCAGCCCTCTCAGAGCCTTTGGCTTGGGTATCTGCTTATCAACTACAATCTAATTTTTTTAGAAGTACTGGAAAAATAGGACTTGCATGGGATTCATTTGCACATTTATGTATGGAGTGACAGAAGGAAAGCAGTCAAAGCGGATTTAAGGCTCCCTGAGCCAGGTGTCCACCCACTCATTCAGGGCCAAAGCTACAAAGACAGAAACCCCAGTAGCCCAAACACATGTAAATGCAGGGCCAGGCAAGGATTCAAAGCCAGAATTCTTTCAGAGTCACTGTTGCATCCTTGTCTTAGCAGTCAGTCTTTTGACAATTGTTGAATTAGGGTGGTCACTATTAAACGTGGATATAAATTTTAATACATTTCTTGGCAGGACTTGCTGGTTCTGGAAGAACAAGAGGTGAGTCGTTTAGAAGTGCTTTGTAGTTCCTTCTCTGTCAGTGTCTCCTTTTCCCATGACTCAGATATGCATGGCATGAACTTGCTCTCACAGCTTAACTTTATGAGGGGGAGAAGGAGTTTAAGGTACATTTTGGAATTTTCTTTTTTTTTTTTTTTGTCGGTCGTGGGGCTTGAGCTCTGGGCCTGGGCGCTGTCCCTCAGCTCTTCAGCTCAAGGCGAGCGCTCTACCACTTGAGCTACAGTGCCATTTCCGGTTTTCTGGTGGTTTATTGGAGATAGGAATCTCATGGTCTCTCCTGCCCGAGCTGGCTTTGAACCGCGATCCTCAGATCTCAGCCTCCTGAGTAGCTAGGATTACAGGCGTGAGCCACCAGCACCCAGCTCATTTTGGAATTTTCTATACAGCTAACTATAAAGACACAAAAACAAGCCAGGAGCCAGTGGCTCACACCTGTAATCCTAGCTACTCAAGAGGCTGACATCTCAGGCTTGTGGTTCAAAGCCAGCCCAGGCAAGAAAGTCAGTGAGACTTTTATCTCCACAAAAAGCTGAAAGTGTTCACTTAGGGCTAGCCTTGGCTAAAGTTCTCCTTTCCCCAGACTTCCTTGTCCTGTCTGTGTGGACTATCATGGCCCCTATCTCCCATCACCCCCCTCTTCTTTTGCACTTGCCTGATGTCAGTTCAGCTGAACCGGATCTTGGACTTCCTGACAGCCTCATGCTTGGTTCTTCTGGTCCAGTGGCTCTCAGAGTGGGCTCCCTGGACCAGCAGGCTCAGCATCTCATAGAAATCTGCTAAATGCACACTCCTGGGTCCTGCCTCAGACCTGCTGAGCTATATGCTTTGGGGCAGGATGAAGCAATCTTCATTTCCTGATCATCCAGGAAATCCTCAGATCTGGCCAACTTGCATTTCCACTGTCTCAGTCCTTTTGCAGTCATTTCAGAAGGATCATCTGTTAGATCCCAATTGTTATAGGTACTGTGCACACACACACACACACACACACACACACACACACACACACACACACACACACACACACACACACACACACACACACACACACACACACACACACACACACACACACACACACACACACACACACACACACACACACACCCCAGTCCTAAAGTTTGAACTGAAGGTCTGGGTGCTCTTCCTGAGCTTTTTTACTCAAGACTAACGCCCTACCACTTTAGTCACAGCTCTACTTCGAACTTTTTGGTGGTTAATTGGAGATAAGAGTCTCACAGACTTTGCTTCCTGGGCTGGCTTCAAACTGCGATCCTCAAATCTCAGCTTCCTAAGTAGCTAGGATTAGAGTCATGAGCCACTAGCACCTGGCCTGTTATAGGTACTTTTTAAATGAACCCAAGAAAGAAAGAGATGCCACCATCTTGGAGACATGTGATTTTGTTATCACTTCCAAGATGGAGAAATAGAAGTGACAAACCAAAGTGGGTAGATGTTCCTGAGAAAATACAAGATACTGATGAAAAATGGTTTGTGAAGCAGAGACAACTGGTGAGAAAGCAGTAGCATCTGGCCATCTCATTTCCCTTCTTGTTTATTCTGCACACAGCCATGAACATTAATTAATTTTCCTCCAGCGTCCCCAATACCCATGGCCAGCCCTTCTAATTCAATAAAGACACATGTGATTCCTCTTTCTGAGACTGTGCCTCTAGTGGTAGGAACAGACAAATATGTGAGTTCAAGAGAAGAATGTGCAAAAACAACAGTCTGAGGAGAACAAACAAGTACTCGGAGTAATAGTGGGGTGGGAGGCTTTATATGGAAAGATCAAGAAAGGCCATTGGAGCTGAGACCCAAGAGCTGGAGAAGAATTCAAGTGTGGGGATTAGCTGGAGTCAGCTCCCTTCTCTGCCTCTGTGTAAAAGGCCACTGTTCCTGATTTATGTGTCTCTTTCTCACAGGTACCTTGAGAGCCTCAAACTGGGGTTACTAGTTGTCCTGAACCCTGGCATTCACCTTTGACCTCTCTCCTCTGACCCATTGGCCAGTGCTGTAATCACTGTTCCTTGTCTACCCCTTAATTGACCACCAAGATTTCACCAATCTAGCCATGGGCCATTCTTACAGTTGATTCTTCAAACAATGGATTTCTTTTTATTATCATCTACTTTAGGCATCTAAGACACTATAGAGAATAATCCAGTGAAAATTCATAAACTCCCTCTCAGCTTAGAGAGGAAAATTAAAAATACAATTGAGTCCTGTTTCCCACTTCCTGACCCAGCCCCCTGTCTTCCCCGCTTCCCTGTAGAGCTGCGGTCATGCATTTGCTATTTGCCATTTCCACAGATCAGATTTTAATTAATCTGGTGTTAAGAGTTGAGGAAGAGAAGCTGCACATTTGGACTAGTTACTGCTTGCTTGGCTCACTTTATTTTTTATTTTGCACATCTGTTTGTGACTTGTGCAGATTAAATATCTCCAGGAATTGGAGAAAATGCGCTTTTAGTATAAATTGCCCACAATTTCCATTTCTATTTCTGAGAGAGTCCACAAGACATCAGCCTAAGATTGTTATGTTTGGCTTTGAATTACAATTAGCTCTCCTTTGCTGACTGGGATTTGGGCTCCTGCCGATGGGTGGGTTTGAAGATGGTACCAGACCCAGGGTCCCATGGCCCTTTGTCTTTGGCATTTTGTTACCCAGAGTAGGACCTGCCTTTCTGTGGGTACCATTAGTAATGAAAATGCAGATACATTAATTTAATATAAAACATATCTCATTTTTAAGCTATATAAAAAATAAATAAAAGCCAGGCACTGGTAGCTCATGCTTAAAATCCTAGCCAGCTTGAAATCAAAGCCAGTCTGGGCAGGAAAGTTCATGAGACTTATCTCCAGTTAACCATCAAAAAGCTGGAAGTGGAGTTGTGATTCAAGTGTAGAGTGTCAGACTTAAGAGGGAAAAAATACTCAGGGACAATGCTCAGGCCCTGAGTTCAAGCCCCAGGACTGGTGCAAAAAAGGGGGCAGGGGATTGATTATTGTTTACATTGGTTAAAAATTGGGACAAAAGACTCCCTCAAGTATATATTCTGGCAACTGCAGTGGTCCTTAGTAGCAAACAGCGTATCTCACAATTATACTTTGATTTGAAATTAACAGTCCTACCTTTGTCTTTTTGTAAGGGCTCTGTGAACTTCAAGTTTGGAGTTCTTTTTGCCAAAGACGGGCAGCTCACTGATGATGAGATGTTCAGTAATGGTGAGTGGGCACTTCCTCCTTCCTGCTGATGGAAACCTGGGCCTGCCTTGTAACATTTCTGCCATGAAAATTGCATGACTCAAGCGGTAGAGTACTCTAACCAGCACAAAGCCAAGTTCAAATTCAGTACTGTCAGAAAAAAAAAAGGAGCTCAGTTTGTTGAGTTAGAATCTTTAATACAAGAAGACAGTGTTACTGAGTAAATTTTCTAAGGCAGTTGTAATTTAGTCTTATTCACTTTGCAAATATTTACTGATCACCTAGCTTCTACCAGCCCCTGCTCTGAACACTGGAAAAATAGGCCAAGTGGAAAAGCACCTGGATTGAGAGAAAATTGTTGTACAGTGACTCTAAAGCAGTGGAAGATTTTTCTGTGCTTTTTAAAATGATTAGATGGTTTCCTCTTCCTGATGTTTTGAATTTTTCATGTGAAAGACCTGTGTATTATTAAGAGAAGCAGTAATAGCATCTTCATTCTGCAGTACTAAACACCTGTAACCCCAGGGTGGCTGTAGTGAGATTGGCTTGGGGACGTTCCTTGTGGCCTCAGGTCATGGAAATATACTTCCATGCTGTTTGCCTGCTGCATGCATCAGCAACACTGAGTCTGGGTCTGTTTCCAGGCGAGTTCAGCATGTAGCTAGAAATATGGAATTGATACCTGTACCTTCCTCATGCTTTTCCCTCTTCCTGCAGAAATTGGAAGTGACGCTTTTCAAAAATTTTTAACTCTCCTGGGTGACACCATCACTCTAAAGGGCTGGACAGGCTACCGTGGCGGTCTGGACACCAAAAGTAAGCTTGCCTCTGGATTTGGTTGTAGTTGATGGATTTTGTTAGCCTGCCTGCCTGTGAGCTTACACCTAAGACACGAGGCCAGCAGTGATTGGAGGGAAGTCAAGCTCCACAGCCAGTCTAACATGGGCCACTGGAACCTTCACTGCCTTCTTTGAGCTTTGCAAAATAAATCACCACAGAGCCCTTAGGAAAAGTCCTGGCTGGCCCATAAATACAATCATATACCACCTGAAGATGCATCCATCAAGGATGCCTACAGCTGGCCTACAAGATTATATTGCCTAGAGATGTCACAGCCATCTCAGTTTGTGTAACTTACCCAAAACAATAAAAATCACCTAACACACATTTCTTTCTCAGCAGTCATACCCATCATTCAGTGACTCCTAGCTCTACCTACCAATGAGCACCTTCCATGCTCCTGGACTGGACTGGGTCCTGGGGGCATCATGTGCATACCTAACAAAGTGGTCTCTCAGATTTTTAAACAGATGCCTATCAAAGTAACAGTGCTGAGTACTTACAGGAGCTAAGAGAAAGAACAGAATGTGCTCAGGGCATTTTACCAAATCTGGGAACTGGAGCAGGCTTCCAGATGAGAGAGGGAGTGAGGAGTGGGAGCAGTTGGAATGTCTCAAGGTGAGAAGAGAATTCCAAGCAGCATGAAGATCCTGAGGTAGGACAGAGCATGATGGATTCTGGAAGTTAAGAGGGTGTTATGGCTGGAGGGGGCAGAAAGAGACCAAAAAGGATGCGATGGACTGGAGCAGGGGGGCCCCTTGGATGTTGTGAAGCAGAACAGTGAGATCAGGTACACCTTTGGGAAGAACCTGCATAGAGAATGATGTGGAAGGATCAGGAAGAGGAGCTGGTGGAGAAGAGTTGCCGTGGGCCAAGCAAGAGGTGGCAAATGGAGGGTGACAAGTGCCTGGATTCCAAAGCCCTTCCAGGGCAGAGGTCCAAGCTCTCAGGCTGATCGCAATGGGAGGAAACGGAGGAAGGGCTCACACTGGTCCCTAGGTTTCTGGTTGAGAGTGCTGGCAGGAGGTGGCACCAGCTGTGAGACTGGGAATTCAGAGAGAAAGCATCTGAGAGATGGAATCTTAGGGGAAGGTAGATAAGACTAAGTGGAGGCTTAGAATCTCTTAGGCCGAGTTATATCTGTGTAGCATTTCTAACATTTCTCAGTGCTTCTTCTTTGGTTATTTTGTTTGATCTTCAGTCTGGCCTTCAGGAAAGTCAAGCAGGTAGTAAGAGACTCCTTTAGCCTCAGTGTGACAAGCCTGAAATCCAGGCACACTCAGACTCTTGGAGCCCATCTCCTCACCAGCCCATGCTAGCATCACCTCACAGATTCTCAGTATGGAAGCAGTGTGTGAGGGTGAGACTTGTGTCAGAAGTACCACAACTTCCAGAGACAGGGCTGGAGAGGTTGGGTGGAGATGGAGGGGAGGTAAGAAGGGATGGAGGAGGTGGAAAGTGATGGAGGAGGTGGGAAGAAATGATGGAGGAAGGTGGGAAGGGATGGAGAGGCTGGTGAGGAGGGTTTTTCCCAGCTTCCCTTGGACAAGCTCTCCATGCAATGGTGAAGTGAATTCTCAGGTACCTGCCAGCTGTCTTCCATGGCTGACTCTCTGCCCCTTACCATCCTGTCCACCATCCATTAGGCCCGTGTACATGAGGCCATCCGCTGAGCACTTGGCAGGCATTGCTTTACTGAGTCTTCCCAGTATCCCCGTGATTCAGATACTAGTTTTATTTCCATTTCCAACTGAGGCTCAGCAAAAGGTGACTTGTGAAAAGTAACTAGCTTTTAAGAAGTTAAAATTACATATACACACACACATATATATATACACACAAACTGTTAAACTCTGGTGGTGAATGGGGTAACACAGGTACCCCCGGACCTTACTTTAATCACTGCAGTTCTGCCAGAAGTCTCACTTCCCTTTATGGACATCAAAACTGTATTATCTTGTGGGAATCTCAAGATAATACAATAAACTGGCCACAGTACCTGAAAGGCAAGGAAATATAACACACTCTGCCTTTTAGCCCAGACTTGCCATGACTTCTCTATTCCTAGCTAGGTATGCATCAGACAGCACGCGAAGCAAGGAGGGAGATCTTTCCTCAGGGGTAAGAGCCCAGCATCAAGTGGAGACTTGACACATACATGATCCACTGTTGTTTCCACTCAGGTGGATAATCCAGAATCATCTTGGAGGGTGTTCTAGGCGCCGTATGCCTGCACCCACAAATGAGAACAGTTTCCATATGGATTCAGACTTCCACATCTACTAAATGTATACTTGTATTTTTCAGATGACACCACGGGAGTAAATTCAGTTTATACTGTATACCAAGGGCACGAGATCATGTTTCACGTTTCTACCATGTTGCCATATTCCAAAGAGAACAAACAACAGGTGTGTGTGAGTGTGAACACAGGGGATGGTCTAGTGTGGATGGAACAGAGGTAAGGAGGCTGGTGAGGAGAGGAGATGCAGGCCTGACCTGACTGAGGCTGGCTGGGGAAATGAGGAAGTCGGGAAAGGAGGCTGGAGCTCTTTGATGGCCCAGCGATTCATTGCCCTGTGTTTTGCTCTTTAACTGTGACTTACCATGTCGGATTGCCTTTGTCAGTGATATTATTTATGCGAACCACAGGTGGAAAGGAAGCGCCACATCGGAAACGATATTGTCACCATCGTGTTCCAGGAAGGAGAGGAATCTTCTCCTGCCTTTAAGCCTTCCATGATCCGCTCCCATTTTACACGTATCCTGGGTCTTCAGAAGTGCTTCATTTAGCAAACTCGCTGGATTTAGGATGACCATTCACACGTTTGCATTGTTAGACACTGAGACCCACTATTTACCTTCTTCTCTCCTTCCACCGGAGTAGGGCATGGATTCATTCTCAGAATCCTTGGCTTCTGAAACATCTTCCCTTTCCTCAGTATGTGAAATGAAAAAACTTCTTGCTATCTATTGATGAAATAGAAGAATGAAAGCTAATGAGTCCACTGAGAAATTTTTCTTTCTTTTTTTTTTTTGTTGAGTAGTATCTTTATTATTATTATTATTATTATGAAAATACCGTACAGAGAGGTTACAAGTACACGGGCAAGGCAATGAGTGCATTTCTTATCAAGCATTGTTGCCTCCTCCTTTGTTTCCCCTTACCATCCCTTCCCATCTCCCTCCCCCCGTCCCCCTTCCCTGACCCCCCACCCCCTCACACCAAAGTTGTAAAGTTCATTTTTGACATAACATCTTGTACATCTCATTGTTGCAATGGGTCCACCTGTATCCCTATTTAAACAATTTGTTTTTTCTTTTGTATAAAAATGTCAACTATCTTAGCTACTCAGGAGGCTGAGATCTGAGGATCATGGTTTAAAGCCAGTCCTGGCAGGAGAGCCCGGAGATTATTTCTTTAAAACTACCCAAAAAAGTTAGAAGTGGATCTGTGACTCAAGTGGTAGAGAGTTAGCCTTGAGCACAAAAAGCTCAGGGACAATGCTAGGCCCTGAGCTCAAGCCCCAGGACTGGCACAAAAAAAGTTGAAATTGCCAAATTTCCTTTTTCTTCAGGGAGGATAAGGAAATTATAGTTACAGTGAAGATGCATATGATTTTCTTCTGTTCTCATCCCTAAGTAATACCTTGCCATGTTCCCTAGGCTTTATGTCTAACATTTCCTCGGTCTCATGGTAGTTTTATTTGCATAGGATTTCCCCAAGTACAGTATAGGAGGGGATGTGAGGTGACTTTGTAAATAAAGTGATTTTTACCATTTCCCTATGAGAAGTTTTAGCTTGGGGGTTTGGCACCTTTGTTTCTAGAAGAGGACAAGCACATAATTCATGGAGATTTGTTTCCCTGAGTCCAGGCTAAGGATGGGAGATGGGGGAGGAAGAACTGGAGTATTTTTAAAGAGCTTTATTGATATTTCACTGGCACACTGATTTTTTTTTGATTGGGGCAGTGTTGGGATAGATTCCAGGGCCTCCACGTGCTGGGCAAATCCTCTGCCACTGAGCCCCACCCCTGGTAGTTATGCTATTCTGGACTTGTCAGGCTTCAGCCCAAGTTAGGAGACTGCTTAGAAGCTGCTACCAGCCGCATTGGCTTGTTGTTTTGGTTTCTTTTTTCTGCTGTGTTTGGTCTACCAGAGCCAGAAGGAGAGAACAGGAAGGTATGCAACAAAAACATTCCAGTTGCTTTCCCTCCCTAAATGTGTGAGATGAAATATATGACTAATTTTATGTTGGGATTTTGTTTGTATCTACAATCAAAGGAATTGCTCTTTTTGCTGTATTGGCTGCTTAGTTGTTTAATATCTTCATGTATTTTTCTTTTTCTGAAGCTTTGGAGGTTTGTAAAGAAGTTGGGGTTCTGTCTCAACCAAAGTGATAGATGCTCCACTCACAAAAGAGCTGGTCCAAGAATAATTCTGGGGATAGAGGTGTAGCTCTAGTGGTAGGGGGCATCACCACAAGCATAGGCCCTAAGTTCAAACCCCTGTACCAATCAACAACAACAAAAAGATTCTGTAATACCAACATTAAGGATGCCAAGGCAGAAAGATAAGTTCAGAGCCAGCCTGAGCCACATAATGGGACCTTGTCTTAAAAATCATCAACAAAGGGCTGGGAAGGTGGCTTAGTGGTAGAGTGCTTGCCTTGCATGCATGAGGCCCTGGGTTCGATTCCTCAGCACCACATAAGCAGAAAAAGCCGGAAGTGGGGTTGAGGCTCAAGTGGTAGAATGCTAGTCTACAGCTGAAGAGCTGAGGGACAGCGCCCAGGCCCAGAGTTCAGGCCTCACAACCGACAAAAAAAAAAAAAAAATCATCAACAAAGAAGGATTCTGCACAAAGAATTTTCAAAACAGAAGCTATCAATTGTTGTTGACTAATTTCCTTGACTGTCCTTCAGATATTTTTGCCTTAGTGAGGTATGACCAGCAAAATGATAATTATAGGTAAGTAAACCCATTTAATTATCCTGTTTTACTTGTTGATTTGGCATTGATTATATTACATTGCTGACATACTTTTTTCTGAATGGATCTAATATGATTGCCCTCATCTTACAGAACTTTCTTCAAGGTCATCTCTTTTCAGGAAGAAAACTTATTCCATTTAGTGTTGTCCTGTGCGGTGAACCCAGGGGTCAGGGTCCCTTGACCTTGGCCTAAGTAGCCTCTTCCCTTGGGCTGGGAAGGTGGCTCAGTGGTAGAGAGCTTGCTTTGCATGCCTGAGGCCCTGGGTTCAATTCCTCAGCACCACATAAGCAAAAAGAAAAAAGCCAGAAGTGGCACTGTGGCTTAAGTGGTAGAGTGCTAGCCTTGAGCTGAAGAGCTGAAGGACAGCGCCCAGGCCCAGAGTTCAAGCCCCACGACCAGACCAAAAAAAAAAAAAAAAGTAGCCTCTTCCCTAGGCTACTGCCTCACCATTGATCCTTGTGTTCTCAAAAGTTAGTCTTGAGCCAGGCACTGATAGCTCACACCTGTAATCCTAGCTGCTGGGAAGGCTGAGATCCTGGAGTCACAGCTCAAAGCCAATCAGGGCAAGAAAGTCCTTAAGCCTCTTATCTCCAATTAACCACCCAAAAGCCAGACCTGGAGATTTGGCTCATGTGGTGAGTGCTGACTTTGAGTGAAAAAGCTGAAAGACAGCACCCATGCCCTGAGTTCAAGCCCCAGGACTGGCACAAAAATAAAACAATAATAATAAAAATGCAAAGCCTTCCCAAAGGTATTATGAGGTGAAAGGAGCATTACTTCTCCCCAGTGACTTTGAGGCTCTGTGGAAGGTATTTATCCCCTCAGAGCCTCTGTCCTCATGGGGAAGGGAGATATTGCCCTTCTGGCAGGCCTGGTAAGAACCAGAGTCAGTGCTGCATCTTAAAATCCCAAGAACACTGTATGCACTGTGTGCCATGGTACTATTGCTGGTATTCTCAGGGACCTGATCCTGGCTACAGCCTGGCAGGTAGAGGACTCAGGAAGACATGGCCTCTTCCCTGAAAGCAAGTTAAGCTATTGTACAAGGGGGCTGGGTGACGGCCCAGGCTTCTCCTAGGGAATAAGGGTTCCTCACGTATCACACACACCACCAGGCACATTACAGGAAGATATCACCAATGTTGGTGATATCTGAGAAAAACCAGCTGAGGCCTAGGAATGTAGCTTATTGGTAGAGTGCTTGACTAGCATGCATGAAGCCCTGGGTTCAATTCCTCAGTACCCTGTAAACAAAAAGCTGGAAGTGGCTCAAGTGGTAGAGTGCTAGTCTTGAGCACATAGAGGCTCAAGGACAGTGCTCAGGCCCTGAGTTCAAGATCCAGTACCGGCAAAAAAAATAAATAAGAGAGAGAGAGAAAAAGAAAGAAACACCAGCTAATTCTGGATGTTCTCTACACAGGTTGAAAATATTTTCAGAAGAAAGTGTGCCGCTGTTTGGCCCACCCTTGCCATCCCCACCGGTGTTTACAGACCACCAGGAATTCAGGGACTTTTTGCTAGTGAAATGTAAGTTGCCATTTTGAAATATCTGTACAGTTTGTCCCATGATGCTGTGTAGGAAATCATTGTTTAAACAGTCCGTGTTCTGAAACGACTGTACACAACATGTATTTCGAGTAAAACTTTTATTTATCATTATTACTATTATCTTTAAGTAGTTGTACAACACAATATTTAGTTTGCTGGTGGTGTTGTGTAGCTGTCTCGCAGGTCAACATCTACCCTTACTGTTGTGTCCCAGTGCCTCCCAGTTTGTCCTCACACACAAACTGGCCTTTGGACCCCAGTTTCCCAGGGCGCCATTCTGAGCCTCTTCTGATAACTCTCTGCTGATACGTGCTTATCACAGACTGGGGTAGAGGTGGGGAATTGGGTGATTATGAGGTAGCACAAGGACAGAGGAGTTGTTCTGAGCCCCGTTCTTCTAAACCTCTCCCCAGAGCATTTCTTGGTGGTTCTGTCTGGAAGGGGGAGATTGTCTCATTGCTTATCAGAACCAAGTTGCAGGACTGTAGCACTCCATCCAGCCTGCCAGCCCCCGGGCCCTGGCAGTGCCAGCCGGTCTGTGCACTCTGTGAAGAGGCCAGCTCTAGCCTTCTGCCAGGCACTGCAGCTGCTTCGGCTGGTGGCCTCCTGTCCCCTCCACCTGTGCACACAGCCTTTGCCTAATTCTGTCACTGTTGCTATGCCATTTCTGAGCATTTGGAAAACTCCTGGCCTCTCCTCTGAATCCATCTTGGTGTCCATTGAGTCTGAAGCTTCAGAGTACTTTATGACAACTACTCTTAGCTTCCAGTTTTTTTAATCCTACAGAATAGGCCAAAATTAACAGCAGAGGCCAGGGCAAGGGACACACATATCTGTTCCCTAGCCCCTCAGCAGTCACACAAGGTTTCTGTGTCTGTCTCCCCAGACCAGTGAGACTGGAAGGGATGAGTGCCATTTACCCTGAGTCACCAAACACATCCTGGCCTCAGAATTGCTCTTCCCACACAACCCACACCCCCTGCAGAGATCTCCACACACTTCCCAACCTCGCCGTCTGCAAATGCAGGCTCAAGAGTGCCTGGCTGTGTCCCTCCACACGGCAGAGGCCCCAGCGTTGTTATCTCCCATGCCGTCATCTACAAGAGGTCTGAGGACAGTGCCCCTGGGCCACATATTAGGAGCAGCAGACACCACATCCACTTGCAGAAGATGATAAGCTTGCCCCTTCCTTCCCAGTGTCTGTGCCTGTTATTTCAGAGTCTGGAACTAGGATCACGGTCAAAGGCCTGGCCAGGCAGGTGAGGAAATGAGTGCTGTGGGCCATGCAGGGGCAGCAAGGAAGCCTGGGAGCCATGACAGGCTGGACAGCATACCCCCTGCACCTGCCAGATGGCATCCTTCAGTAGCCTGCCCAAGACTGTGAATCTTCAAAACAAACCAGACACTGGAAAACTGTGAAACTGCTTTAAAACTGCAGTGTTTGTGTGGCTGAAGCCCCAAGGATCAGGTTAGAAAGCTGGAAATAGAGAGTTGGTAACAAGGAGCAGGTGTAGCAGCTAGAGGCTGACAGCATCTGGGAAGTTGGGTCCAGGACAAGGGCCCGAAGAGCCTGTAGTGCCTTAATCCTGAACTAGAGGATCACTCAGCGCCACTGCAGACTCCACTTGTGTGTGAAGTCTGTCAACAAACAGAGTGGCTCAAGAGCATCCTCAGAGATGTGGGGTGAAGTGAGACAAGGGATTCTGTGGCTCTGACACTGAAGATCTGAAAGGTGGATAGGCAGAAAGAGGTGGCAGAGGGCCCCACAGCTGATGGAGAAGGCCCGAGGCAGTGATGGAGAGTGGCCAGGGGCCAGGAGAGCGAGAGTCCTCAACAAAATAGTAAAGCCTGGGCCCAGGAGGCCCAGAGTAAGTGTAGCAGAAGGCTTCATGGAATTAGGCCAGGAGAAAATGCCAAGATAAAATAGGAAATGGCATTTCAACAAAACTCTTGGCCTTTTCCCTTTTTCCACCCAAACACATCATTTTAAATGAATGTTTCTAAGGTACTAAGGAGAAAAACAAAATCCCAGGTCACAAAATTAGTTAGATACAATAGTTAAAATTCCTCGAACGATGTCTTGCTAAACACAAGACAACTTGTTCTCAGAATACAACCTGTCTAGGGAATTTCTGCTCCCAAGTAGTTCCACTTTTTTTCACTTTACAAGCTCTGACCTTCCGTTAGCCTTCTGTATAAGAATACTGGTAGTTAATGTTTATTCAGTTCCATGTGTCTAACACTGTAATATGAATTTTATGTATATGTATATATTTATTTATTTGATAACTCCATAAGGAAATAGGATTATACCCATTTTATGAGTTAGACACTGAAGTTCCAAGAAACTAAAAAACTGCTTAAGAATATATACCTAGCAGCAAAACTGGTATCCGTACTCATTACTGTCTTGGCTTCAGACTCCTTTACCGCACGCTTGCTGTTCTGTGCTCTAGTGTGTAAGTAACAGTGCATTCCACTTTATTGGCTTAATGTCCATAATCCAATAAACCCTACCTTCTTCCAGAAGAAACGCCCATTAGGTTAAGACTCCTAATAGTCTACTAAGACAATTGTTGTTGTTTTTTTCCTAACAAAATGGCAGCCTGATAGGTTGATGGGTTGGATCACTGGATGGATGGGTCAGGCAGTAATTAGACACATGGCTAAACAGGTCTTTAGGTAAAATTAGATGGACCCTCTGCTTAGAAAGCTTTCCATGCAACAAGAAAGGAAAGATAAACAACATACCTACAGAGTATATGGGTCTGCACATAGAAATTTAGAAAGTTTGTAAGCATTCTTCCATGATGGGAAGGACAGACCAATAGCAATACCTACAAAGTTAGGTTATTTTTCATCAGTATGACAAATACCTGAGAAAAACAACAGAGCACAATTACAAAGGTTTCAGTTCCCAGTTACTTGGAATATCATGGCAGCAGATGAAGACAGAGGAAATCGAATCTGCTCACCTCATAACAGCCAGGAAGCAGAGAGAACAAGAAGGGGACAGAACAAGAACAGCTGGGCACCAGTGGCTCACGCCTGTAATCCTAGCTACTCAGGTGGCTGAGATCTGAGGATCACGGTTCAAAGCCTGCCAAGCAGGAAACACTGTATGACTCTTATTTCCAGTTAATCAAAGAAAAAGCCAGAAGTGGCACTGTGGCTCAAGTACTAGACTGCTAGCCTTGATCATAAAGGAGCTCAGTGACAATGCCTAGGCCCAGAGTTCAAGCCCCAGATTGGGGAAGGGAGGGAGGGAGGGAGGGAGAGAAGAGGAGGGAAGGAGGGAGGGAGGGAGAGGCCAAGGGATGACTGCCAATAACCATCTTTCTCCAGCTATGCCCCAGTTTCTAACAGTTCTGCTGCCTCCCATGAATGCCATGGAATTCTGAATCCATCAGTGGATCCCTTGATGAAGTCAGAGTCCTCATGGTATTTTGTCACACTGATGAAAAATAACCTAACTCAATCACCCCTCAATGATTGGATCTAACTGCTGGGACCAAACCTTCCACACAAATCATGACAGCAGAAGTGGGTGGTATGGATCATGCATTTTCTTGAGAACATTCTTCAATGGCTACTAATGCCTATAATTCCCTTTTTCACTTGATTTGTTTTAGTAATTAATGGTGAAAAAGCCACTTTGGAAACCCCAACCTTTGCCCAGAAACGCCGGCGTACTCTGGACATGTTGATTCGTTCTTTATACCAGGATTTGATGCCAGATTTGCACAAGGTACTTGGGCCTATGGCCTTCTTTTCCTCCCATGGGACCTGAGTGGGTAGCACAGTCCTAGCATTGAGGCCCTGGGTAAAGCATACAAGTCACTGTCCAGACTCCCCTGCTACCTAAAGAAAGCCACCTGTTGAGTGTCAACTACAAGGACATGATTTTTATCAACTTGAGGCCTATAGAAATCGAGGCACAGGTTGGGGCCTGAGTGTCAGTGCTCCAGAGCACTGAAGAGTACTTTGGGGTGGAGGGGGTGCTGCCTTCAGTAGAATTGCTCAGTGTTACCTGGGCCATGGAGCTGATGGAGAGACAACAATAGGGACTGTTTAAAGAGAGATGCTTTCTTACATTTGCTGGTAATTTCTTGCTAGCCCCATAATCAGGTTCTGAAATAAGCATTTCCATTTGTTGGAAGCCCACTTTGTGCTAGACACTTGGTAGGCCCAAAGTATGTCCACTCTGATGAGACTCTGCCCCTTCTGGCACCTCTGGGGTACCTATGTTCTTTGGAGGCTTCTGGACTCAGCGTGAGCTCACTAGGATCAGTGACTCATTAACACAGAATAAAATCACCTTTTGTCATAAACATTTCCTACTTAACAAGGAAGTACAGAACAAAATGGGGGGACTCCCTTAGAATCTAACCACTCATTCATAAACTCCAGTAAAAATAATTAACTGCTGATGATGATGTATGCCCCAGGGAGGAGCTAGAGCTTCTTGGCTCCTTCCTTCCCTTTAGCACATGATGCCATGCATTTACAGCACTCTTTGATTTGTCTGCTCGATGCGCCTTAACACCCCTCAGAGAGTGAGCCAGGCTAGCACCAGGCCTGATAAAGCAAGGCTTTGTAGATAATCTGTCCACTCCTTTCCTTCCCTAAGGTCAGGGAAGGGTGAAGAGAGGGCAGCAGGATGAGTGCTCACTCCCATAGCTCCAACACACCCCATACTTCCCCTTCCTAGCTGTGACCCCATGTACTAGTCCTTTAGGTCCTTCATTCTGTCAGCTTCGCCAACCTCTGTGCTCCAGGAGGACAGATACTGTGGCTGTCACATCCCTAAGCTCATCACAGAAGTGAGTGCCAGGTCTGTGCTTGCTGAGTGAGTGCCCCACTTATCTGACATGGGTTGGAGGCTGTGCCAAGCACCTTGCATACATTACCTGGCTTAATCTAAACAACACAGCTAGGAGACAGATACCCAGTTAACCAGCTTGCCCAAGGTGGCCCACAGGGCCACAGAATCCCACAGCTCTTAGGGGTCACTATTCCCATTGAATTCAGTGGATTGCCTTCCACGGGCACCGTTCTTTGGAAATGGCATCCTGGAGCCATGCAACACTGTCAGTAAATGAGGTAGCTGCAGGTTTGGCTGGTCTCAAAGCCTGTGTTCTCAGCTATTACACAGTGCAGGCTCTGCACCCGTAGATTCTATCCCTGCATTTAGCTTGGCCCTGGAACATAGCAAGGGCTCAATAAATGCTCCCTGGGTGAATGAGTAGCAAGAGTAGAAATTAGACCATTTGGACAAATAGGTTTGTGCTTAAAAGATACAACTCGATAATTATTTGTGGAATTCATAACTTGTTTTTCTTTTTCAGAACATGCTTAATAGACGGTCTTTTAGTGATGTCTTACCTGAATCACCCAAGTCTGCACGGAAGAAAGAGGAGGCCCGCCAGGCAGAGTTTGTACGAGTGGGGCAGGTGGGCTCTGTTCTGAAACCTCTTCTGAGAGACTTGTAGTTAGGAGTCCCTCCAAACTAGATGGCTCATGCGCAGAGCCTGGCTTCTTGCCACTGTAGGAGCTCTGTTACTTCTCCGAAGACTGTCCCAGAGACCCCACCTGAGGGTTCTGACAGCTGTGTGGATGTGGCTTCCTATAGGCGCCTGTGAGAACACAGCGCTCTCAACAGTAGGATAGTTTCTTCAGGAAGGAAATGCTTCAGGGCCCAGCTTTGGCTCCCTCTTGTCAAGAAGTCATGGGCCATTTGCCTGTCACCTAGGCAGATAGAGGGGAGTTAACTTGGGTGATACACCTTGGACTTTTCCCTAAGAGCATACATATCACTCACAAAAGTCCCAGATTTCTACCCTGTTACCTGGAAGCAATCATCATATTCACTCTCTTACCCCATGCCTTAGACGAAGTCATTCTCCCTTTGCCTCATTCCCATATGACACTAGCCTTTCTCAGTTCTAAGCTTCCTGCCTGATCCCACATCATATCAGGGAAAAAGAGGAGGGCTGCCAGCTGCAGATAAGGTGTGACCTGGAAGTAGAACACTTATGTAAGTCAGGGTGAAGGAAGATCCTGTGATCAAGAAAAACTTGAAGACAAAAATCCCTTTTTCCAAAAAATGATAGCTAGCTTCTTTCAGAGATTCAGAGCCATCGAGTTTGAGGGAAGGCCTTGGAATCTATGTTTTTTAATGCTTAGAAATCACAGTACTGTTATCGAAGTTAATGACAGAATGTGTCTGGGGTGATTTGGACTGGGACCCAGTTCTTAAGGCCCCACGATGGCCAGTCATTTCTGATTGTCAAGGGTGAGTCCGTAGAAATGATGATTTCTGTTTCTTCTAGTTTTTTTTTTTTTTCAAATTGCAATTGTTTACCATGATGTTCTTCTACTGCCTGAAAACAAACTTTAAAAGAGACCTCTTTTCCATAAGGCACTCAAACTGAAGTCCATTGTGAGAGGGGACGCCCCATCAAGCTTGGCAGCTTCAGGGATCTGTAAAAAGGAGGTGAGTGGGGTCTTTCAGGATGACCTGTGAACGTCCTTTATGCTCCCTGAGATTATTGGGACTATTAGGAAAAGGTTTGGGGGTGGAAGAAAGAAGAACTTATTGCCTCTAGCATCTTCAGGAAAGCCTGATTGCATAGAGTATCCCCGTGTTTCCACTCCTGCCTCTGCCTGAATGGACAGAGCAGAGGTCTAGGCCAGGTCCAGGCTACCAGGCTGGTTCTACATGGTCCCTGAAGCTTTTTGTGCCTATGTGTTATATTATGACCAAATATGTGCTCTAGTATAAGAGGTCTGTGTCCTGCTCATCCCTTAGAAATTAATGTTATTCTTTGGGCCTACACTGAGGCAAAGATTTTTCACTAAGTACAGGTTCAGGTCACCTCCAGTTTCTTATCTACTAAGTCTGTGTGAGGCTTGAAAGGTTGTGTTCCTGACTAGTTCTGGAAGCCATGGAGGTGGCTGTTCAGAGGAATATAGCTGAGAAACCACTACCTACTTCTGGTTCACTCAGCCAGCCAAAAAGTTCTTGTCTTATTCACTTCCTATGTCCACTTTCCATGGGGAAAATACTAGGTGGGTCATCAAAAAAGCCACACAAATTGTAGCACAAACTTAGCATACCCACACTCTGGTGCAGTAAAACAACATCTTACGTGTTTAATTTCATTCCAAATATGTGAGTTAAATGGAACAAAGTCATTCATAGCACTTCACTAGAGAAGGGTCCACTAGAAAAGCAAAAGAACTACAAAGGCATCTGCTTTAGTGATAAAGGTAAAGATGATTTGGGCCTACACATTTGGAAGGCTGCTAGTAGGAAAAGGTAAGCTCAAACTGTGGTTGATCCAAATGCTACAACCTGCCTCATACTAGACTGATGGCCAAGCCTCCTCTCCCAAGACTGCTCATGTTCATGGTAGGGATGCGGTGTTTCTGAGCTTATCACAGTAGGAGTTAATAAACTTCTTGAAAAGTTCTTTGGCATACATTAAAACAAAAGTCTATAAAACTCTAACTTGGTCACAAATAAACAACAAAGAGCAGCATCCATTGTTGGAGTCAGAGGCCCCCACAGGCCTCTCTTAGAGAAGCCCTCCTCCTCAGAGGTCCCACAGACTGTTGTCACTTGACACCATCAAGGCCACAGACCCATGTGCTGCTGTTCCCTAGCGACATCTTGTTCCAAAGAACAGGGCTTTGCCAAACACCTGTAATCGTAGCTCCTCAGGAGGCCGAGTCTGAGGATTGTGGTTCAAAGCCAGCCCAGGCAGAAAAGTCCATGAGACTCTTATCTCCAATTAACCACCAAAAAACTGGAACTGGAGTTGGTGGTTTAAGTGATAGAATACCAGCATTGAGTGAAAAAACTAAGCAACAGCACTGAGTTCAAGCCCCAGTGCCAGCACAGAGAGAGAGAGAGAGAGAGAGAGAGAGAAAGAAAGAAAGAATAGGGCTTTGTCAACCTCATAGGCACCCATCATTTCATGACCTGTGTTGGTGGTCTCTGAAGATCCCCCAGAAAGCCCTGCACTGGGGTGGGCAGGCTCAGAGGCCACGTTCCCATCCACAGAGTCTGCACCGAACTTGTCACCTGGCAGAAGGGGCCTGGCCTAAGACAAACCCCAACATCATCAGCAGAGCATGTGGGCCCAGATCTCAGGTGATCCCTGACGTTCCATGCCCCGATGTTCAGTAGATCCCCAGCTCTTGTAGTTACTGGCACCTCTGAGAACCATGAACACCCCACACAGCACACACTAAAATACCAGTGGCAAAAACAGACGGCATTTTGGATACGAGAGTCTCTTGGGCAGGAGTGGGACAGACACATGTGCTTCTCCTCCATCCACCACAGCCCACCCGCTGACATTAACAGTTCTCTATGGCTTATAATGATGTTATAAATATCCAAATGGCCCTGGGTAAAGCAAAACTTCTCACCCCTGCTGTAGATTGTCCTTTTGGGTGAAGGGCCCCTCCTACATATTCGTTGGCCAGAGAACACATCATTATGAAGATGCAGTGGTTCTGTCTGAGAGCCACCCAGAAGCACTGGTTTCCATATCTGTCTCCTGGATTGCCTTTGTATTGCCATTGTTCCTTCATGTCCTCTTGTTGCAAGTCACAAGCTCAGAGTTGCCAGAACTCATCCTAGGGAAATGTCATTTCAATTAGTAGCCTGTCCTGTGTAGCCTTTTTTCAATTCATTAAACATTTCCATATGCTTTAGGTGATCTTTTCCAGATAGTGCAGGTCTCATCTTAGCAAGTCTAATGCTCTTCCCAAGGCTGTGGGTTTTCTAAAAGGGGAACATGCTCTGCTTTTCTAACATAGCAATAATCCACACAATGTTTACCCAGCTCTAGCAACTGCAAGGTAGTCCTCAGAGCCTTTGTGTGACTCAGAGGCTGCTAGCACATCCTCCCAGACACACCCATGTATGCTTACATCCTCCAGACACACCCGTGTATATTTATGTGCAGCTGCAGGTGAGACATGACCCACCTGTGTCTGATTGAGAATAGAGGTAAAGACATAAGACTCCAGCTTGTCCCCAGAAATCTCCAAAGACTACCAGAGCCTAGAACTGAGCTAGGAGCTGTGGAGGGAAGTGAATGCTTCCACTGGACATGTCCATGGTTCTGGTGTCTCTGAAACCCTAGTAGACAACCCAGTGACTTCAGGTGCCCACCCAGTCCAGAGACCATTGTCAGGAAGAGCAATCTAGGCCTGGAATAAAAGCGATGATGCTAAAACCCCAGGAAAAGAGTGCAATATGGCCTGTGGAGGGAGTCGTCGTTTCCTTGGTAGTGCTTGCTGTTTTCCTACACACATTATTTTTTTCTTTAAGATTTTGTAAAGTAGATGGGCCAGTAAGCCTTTTCCTAATAAGACGCCATCAACCCCTTCCGTGCATATTGTTTCATGACTTTGTTGAATCAGCAACACAGGAATCTTGACTTATTTACAGTAACTGTGGGATTTCTTTTTAAGATGAACTAACCTCAAATTTCTAAAAAGTAGGCACTGATTGGCCAGTTTCCAGATGTTAAAGAAAACGCCTCGCTTAGGACACATTGACAGTGTTTGCTTGTCTAGCAACATTTTCGGTCTCTGTCTGCCATAGTGCATTTCACTGGGGATCAAAGAGAAACAGGTCATGGTGCCAGAAATAGGGAGACCGTGCTGCTTTCCTATCACACATGTATTTGGAAAATTCCTCTCCTTAAGTGAAGTAACTCAGTCCAGACCCCATGTATCTCCCACGAGCATCTGTGTTACTGTTTCAGGCATTGGTGTTCTGTTCGTTTCTGTTTGGTGGGCATGGGTGTTTTTTCTGGTGCACTTATTGTCCGATGCTTGTGTTGCCTCGCAGCCGTGGGAGCCCCAGTGTTTCTGCAGCAGTTTCCCTCACGAAGCCGTGTGTGCAGATCCCTGGGGCCAGGCCCTGCTGGTTTCCACTGATGCTGGCGTCTTGCTAGTGGATGGTTAGTGAGTAGCTGTTCTACAAATGTCTTTATTTGTGTGGCTCATGGTACTGCTCAGGGAGTGACTGAGAACCAACTCAATGTGTGGCCCACAGGGACCTGGCAGTTCGATAGCTTTACAAATGAGCTCCATTTTCAGGGCAAGTAGAGGGTGGATATTGTGAACCAAGCACACTTCCTAGGCTCACCCCTTCCTCTAATCTTTGATTAGTCTGGGGATATTAAATGATATGTTATAATCTCATTGTCAGCCAATACTTTTCATGGCCCTGACATTTTATCTTAAATCAAAAGGGGATACATTATTTAGAGTCATCCTTGGGAACATTCTCTGAAAGTTCAAGGTCAAGCATGGTGGTTCATGCTTGGAATCCTAGCTACTCAGGAAACAGAGATGGGAAGGAATGAAGTTCAAGGCCAGCCCAGGCAAAAAAAAAGTTAGCAAGACTGTATCTCAACAAATAATTTGGGCATGGTGGTTCAAACATGTAATCCCAACTAACAGGAGGCTGTGGGTAGAAGGATCACAGTGCAAGGCCAGTCTTGGGCTAAAATATGAAGTCCTATCCAAATAATAACTAAAGCAAAAATAAATTAAAAGGTTGAGGCCATGGATCAAGTGGTGCAGTGCCCTGAATTCAAACTATGAACAACAACAAATTTAGTTCTGAAAGTACTGAATGTCCAAAACAAGCCATATGAGTCAGGTAAGCTATTTTTGATGAATATAGAAACAGAACAGTTAGACAGGGGGACTGATTTCAGCCCAGTAGAAAAGCAAACTTTCCCACAGTCAGCTAGCCCAACCTGCCCTGGGGCAGTACCCTGTCGCACAGCTGAATGACCCTGGGCCAGGCATGATACACCCACAGCCAGGATGCTGTGGCAGACGTACAACTTGAGATGGATCAGGGTGTAGACAGGGCCAGCAGGAGGTTCTTTTAGTTTATTCCAGACTCCTGATGAATGTGAGAGGAGCAAGGAGCTAAAGAAACCCTGGCAAAAGTCATCTTCTGGGCTTGGACAGGGCCTCACAGACTGCACAGAGGTGGCTGTCCAGTCTCTGGTATGACCATACAGACGTACCATGAGGATCCTAACACCACCTCTGAGAGTGACTCAGTGGCACCCCTTTGGCATGGTCTTTTCTCCCTAAACCCCTCCATAGCACATTTACAAAATTCCAGCTCTGTGTTGCCCCCTGTGCAGCACCTTCTGCTTACAGCAGGAGAGGTGACCCTACTTCAAGTGGGCTGTTTTCTGACTTTGTTATTTTTGGTCTGGGTCTTTCTGTGTGTGCTATTCCTGGGGCTGGAACTCAAGGCCTCAAAGTCTCACTGAGCTTTATTTCTTGTGGCTGATGCTGTACTATTTGAATCACACCTCTACTTCAGCTTTTTGTTGGATAAGTGGAGGTGAGGGTCTCGAGGATTTATCTGTATTGACCGACTTTGAACCATGATCTTCAGACCTCAGCCTCCTGAATAGTTCTATAGGGTTATTGGTGTGAGTCACTGGCACCCAGGAGTATGGATCTTAATTGTGTGTCCATGACCTACTCATATCTATGGCTAATTCAACAGAAAGCAGATAATTTAAAATTCATCAATTGAGAATTTAAGTCCTTCATTTGAGAAACACTGTGGTCTAAGGAAAGTCCAGGGCTGGGGCTGGGGCTCAATGGTAGAGTGCTTGATAAGCATGTGGAAGGTCCTGAACTGGATCCTCAGCACCAAAGAGAAAAAGCCTCAAAGCTCTCTAAGTGGAAGCAATTTTAAGAGGCTGATAAAATCTTACAGTGATGAAAAATGATGAGGCATACGGGGACAATTACAACCAGGAAGAGGGAGTCTAGGGGTTAATCAGTTACCTGTGTTTGGCATATAGTAGCAGCTTATTAAATGGTAGCTGTTACCTTTGCTATCTTCCTGGGAATTTACTTTAACAAAATCCTTAGATTTTTGCCAGAAGCACATAGGTTTGAGCCTAAAGGAAAAAAAGAAGAAGAAAAGAAAAACCAAAACAAATGTCTGAAAGGCTTAGTCTGGCCAGTCTCCTAGCTTCATAGATCAAGGCCTAAACAAACGAGTGACTTGGCGAGGTCACACTGCTCAGATGTGCTTCTATCCCAGTGCTCTTTCACAAACCAACTGCATTTCATTAAAACTCAGGTACAGGGGTTGGGGATTTAGCTCAGCCTATCAAGTGCAAGGCCCTGAGTTAGGTCCTCAGCTCTGGGGGAGGAGGGGTGAGGACACGGGGAGCTATAGCCAGGGTTGGGGAATCATGCCTATAATCTTAGCTACTCAGAAAACTGAGATCTGAGGCTCTCAATATGGAGCCAGCCCTGGGCAGACAAATCTGTGACGCTTACCTCTAGTTAACCAACAAAAAGTTAGAACTAGAAGTGTGACTTGAGTGATAAGGGAAAAGCCAAGGGAAAGGCCCTCCCTGATTTCAAGCCTCAGTACTAGTGCATGTGCATACACACACACACACACACACACACACACACACACACACACACACACACACACACACACACACACACACACACACACACACACACACACACACACACTCTAAGCTGTACCAGTGTTTTTGTCTGTGTCTTAATGCAGATTTCCAAAACTATAGACCTGGGAAAAATTTGGATTTAAAAGAAGGTTCAATTATTGTAAAGCTTCCTAAAAACAAAGAAATCTGAGTAGGGTTTTTGTTCTAAGTATTGGGATTCAAACTCAGGGCCTTCAGTTTACTAAGAAGAATCTAAACTGAGATTACCAAGTCCTTTCTGAAGTTTTAATGTTTATCAATCCAAAATTTAATGGTGGTGTCTGATACAGAGATTGTTGTGGTTTTCCAAAAAATTCTTTTCTTCCACATTTGGAGGAAGTCCATTAGTGGCTGTATTCACCCACCACCTGTATAGATATTTATGTAGATTATTTTTCTCATGTCCTGACTATACAGTGATCCTTTGTTTTTGCAAAGAAAGAAAATAACATTTAAAGTTCTCTTTGTACTCTTCATTATGCCATAATTCTCTTATATCTTTGTTTACCTTCTTCTGGTCTACACTTAATCGTACTATGAATTGTTTTGGTGAGTGAATCTGTCCATTTGCTCCAGGCTGAGTTTCACTCTAGCCCATTAGCCTTTGCTTAATTTTATTAGACCTAGCCAGGAGAGTCTGCTCCTTTCAAGGTCATTATTAAAAACCAAGATCCTTTGCTCTCATGACTGCTGCACAACCTACTTTGAAGGAAGACTAAATACCAATTTTGTTTTTGCCATGCATTTTGGTTTCACAGTACTAGAAAAGCTGTCTGTAAAAGATTGCTTCTTCCTACAGAGATTACAGGAAGGAAAAATTAATGGAGCAATCATTAATCACAAGTCTCTTTGCCCTGTCTTTACTTCCTCTGCCAGTTCAGCTATCTGAGAAAGAGTAGACGGAGAATACATGTGAATTTTCTGTCTACTTGGTTTGGTAGCTCTCCTGTTTCCAATGTCAAATGAAGTATTCGTGTCACTTTTGTCTTCATAAACTCAAGGTGTGACCTTGAGCAAGGTCCCAACACCTGTGAACCCCAAATTCCTCATTTACTAAATGAGACCATTGCATATCTCCACCTAGCTGGGTCCTTTGGACATTGTGAATTAATAGAAGGCACACTAAGCATGGGGTCTGGCCCATAGGAAGCCTTGGTGTGTGTGATCTGCCATTGCTGTGCTGCTCTTCCCCCAGAATGAGGTAATGGCAGTTACTTACCCAAATACAATGACAGATATTCATATGGGCATCTTGTATTCTGAACACTGAAGTCTTCCCTGGCAGCAGTACAAAGACTCTGGAATCAATTCCTTTTTGTAAGGGGCCTGGCTGGAGGAGGAAGGAAACTGGTTCATGAGCTGACATAAAAGTCACAATTTTGGCTGGCCGCCGGTGGCTCACACCTGTAATCCTTAGCCAGTCACGAGGTTGAAATATGAAGATCAGATTCGGAACCACACCAGACAGAAAAGTACCCATGAGACTCTTTTTTTTTTTTTTTGGGGGGGGGGGGGTCCAGTCGTGGGGCCTGAACTCTGGGTCTGGGTGCTGTCCCTCAGCTCTTCAGCTCAAGGCTAGTGCTCTACCACTTGAGCCACAGCGCCACTTCCGGCTTTTTTCTTTTTGCTTATGTGGTGCTAAGGAATCGAACCCAGGGCCTCAGGCATGCAAGGCAAGCGCTCTACCACTGAGCCACCTTCCCAGCCCCACCCATGAGACTCTTACCTTCAAGTGACCACTGAAAAACCAGGAAGTGGAGCTGTGGCTCAAAGTGGTAGATAGCTAGGCTTGAGCAAAAGAGCTCAGGGATATAGCACCCAGGCTCTGAGTTCAAGCCCCATGACCAACCAAACAGAAAAAAAAAAAAAAGAGGAAACAGAGGCAAGCCCTGAGTGTGTTTCTCATGTGAGCACCATGGCTGTTCTGTGGCACATCCAGAGTCCCTGGGCCTGCAAGAGCTGGAGCTTCCTCCCCACAGAGGGTGGCATTAATCCTAGTGACTAGCCCCTGCTCCTGCCTGGGTATGGCCAGGAAGGGTTAAACTCCCAGCTACATTGGGATTCCTAGAAGGGGTTGGGGGCGGGGTGCATGTAACTGAATTATAATGACCAAACACATACCTGCAACAGAGCCCTAGAAAACTGAATGTAGGTGCAGAATGAGGCAGCCACTGCCCTGCATGAGATCTCTCGCAGCCCTGGCCATGTCTGCCTGGCCCTGATTCTACACCAGACTCAGCCTTTTTCTTCAGAACAGCCTTAATCCTTCAGCCCTCATGTATAGAGCCCCCCAGGGACAAAATAATTGTTAACAGTTTAGGATCCCAGTAAGTAACCTTAAAAAGGAATTCTGTGTATAATTCAGTCTTTAGTCATCCAATTACGTGAAATCTTCCAGAGTATTTCAACTCGATAGGTTGTCCCCCCACTCCCCACTGTGCAACATGTCTAATTGATATTCTCTCTTTACTTATTTTCGTCTAAAAAAATGAAGATTTCAAATTCCTATATGGAAACACATTGGAAATTTATTGTGGACATAGACACAGAGCAGGTGAGGGCAGAGCAAGTTTTAAATGCAAAAAAAGAAATATTTTTACTTTTCTGGGACATAGAAAATGATCTAATATATGATGTACTTTCAAATACTATATAAAAATAAGAAAATACTGAAGAGAAATGACTCACATCATTTTTTCATGTGGTGTTTAGCCCTTTGATAGAAGCCCAGTAAAACATGAGGTTGAGGTATGTTGCTTTGTCTTGTAGTTCGCATGCTTTCTCCCTAAGCTGAGTGCTTGAAGTTCATGTATAAACCTCAGGAGAGTTCTAGAAGCTGACTCCTTCCTTGCCCAGGTAGAAGTGGGGTCTGGATCTCCCACAGACACATGCCATAGGTCACAGAGTCCAGCCAGTAACCAGCCTTCCTTTTCCAGATGAACTTCCATCAATGCCCGTGTTTGACAGAACGCTGCCTGTGAAGCAGATGCACGTGCTTGAGACTCTGGACCTTCTCGTTCTCAGAGCAGACAAAGGTGCTACCCCTCTGCGCATGCTCTGTGAGGGAGGAAAACCTTGGCCTCCCATGGCGGCAGTGAGGGGCCACCAGGGTCTCACCTCACAGGGGAGCTGCTGTTGCTTTTCCAGTGTCAGTGATGGGACTCACTTGTTGAGGGGGAGGGGACTAAGCAATGGAGAAAAGGAGGCTGCATCGCTAATTATGGTTGTGTCAAAGTGCTGAGGGATGTCTCACAATTCTACACACCTCCTTTCTACTGTGCTACTGTCATTTTGCCTCTCCATCCCCTTCTCTGCCTTCTTCCTGCTGTCACCAGGGAAAGATGCCCGCCTCTTCGTCTTCAGGCTGAGCACTGTGCAGAAAGGCCTTGAGGGGAGGCAAGCTGGGAGGAGCAGGTCTGACTGCCGAGAAAACAAGCTGGAGAAAACCAAAGGTGACTTGGTCTTCCTACTTGGGAAGTTTCTGCTCAATTCATTACTTTTTCTCAGGCAGCCTAGGTTTTTACTGAAAATTAAAATGAATAGGGAAGTTGTTGCCTAGCAAGCCCAAAACCCCGAGTTTGATCCTCAGCACTGCACATTGGAGACTAGAAATTCTAGGCCTCTATCACCAGTTTTAGAGGTGAGTTGAAGTCCGTTAGCAATTCTGTGGTCAGTCATGAGCCTTGAACTCAGGGCCTGGGCTGTTACTGAGCTGTCTTGCTCAAAGTTAATGCTCTACCATTTTGAGCCATCCCTCCATTTCTGGTTTTCTGATGGTTAATTGGAGATAAGAGTCTCATGAGGACTTTTCTGTCTGGGGTGGCTTTGAACTGTGATCTCAGTCTCCTGAATAGCTAGGATTACAGTCATAAACCACTGGTGCCTGGGTGAGTAAAAATACTTTAAGACTTTGTTTCCTGGAGTTCTGGTCACCGCAACTTCAATTTCTGTATGTAGTAAGTTTGAGACCAAGCCCACTAACAGGAAAATAGGACTATCACTGCTGATGTCATTTTCATGTCCACTCCATTTTCCCTGGTATCAGAATCATCCTCAGCTGACCCCTGAGTGATGCTTCACTTCTAGGGTTCTTAGGAACAATTCCAGACCACCTCCTCTGTTGCACTTCCATCATTTGTCTTCACAGGCTGCCACCTGTATGCTATTAACACTCACCACAGCAGAGAGCTGAGAATCGTGGTTGCCATTCGGAATAAGCTGCTTCTGATCACAAGGAAACACACCAAGCCGAGTGGGGTAACCAGCGCCGCACTGCTGTCTCCCCTGTCAGAGTCTCCTGTTGAAGAATTCCAGTACATCAGGGTAGGTTTCCTCATTTTTTTTTGGTCAGTTGTGAGATCTGAACTCAGGGCCTGAGCACCGTCCCTCAGCTCTTCAGCACAAGGCTAGCGCTCTACCACTTGAGCCACAGAGCCACTTCTGGCTTTTTTTTTCTGCCTATGTGGTGCTGTGGAATCAAACCCAGGGCCTCATGCATGCAAGGCAAGTGCTCTACTACTGAGCCACCTTCCCAGCCCTTTAAAGGATTCTTTTGTTTCTGTCTTTACTTTTTGTTGGTCATGGGGCTTGAACTCAGGGCCTGGGCGCTGTCCATGAGCTCTTTTGCTCAAGGCTCTTTTGCTCTACCACTTTGAGCCACAGCACCACTTCTGGTTTTCTGGTGGTTAATTGGAGATAAGAGTCTGCCCAAGCTGGCTTTTAACCTCAGTCTGCAAATATCAGCCTCCTGAATAGCTAGGATTACAGGTATGAGCCTCCAGTGCCTGGTGATTCTTATATTTTTTAAAAACGGCAGTACCTCAAGCTGTGAGATATATCCAACACTGGCATTCCTATAGTCTAGATGGTAAGTGATCTTTGTGTAGGGTTAAGACCTCCTTAATTGTGCCTGTCAATTTCTGCACATATTCAGCATAATGTGAAGGCAAAATAAGTTAAAAATTGTTCTAAATAGGTGTCAACCTTCTTATTCTTAGGAATATTTACTTAGGGTCTTAATGTAGCATAAGCTGTAAAATCACATTTCCACTCCACCATACATAAACTGACCAGAGCAGTCACTTGACCTTTGGGCCTCAGTTTCCTCAGTTGTAAACACAGCAGTGGTCATCCTGTTTCATGATGCTGGTACAAAAACAGTGCTGGCACCTGAACAGCTAAGCACTTTTCATTGGCAACAGATAACACCAGGTTATTAGCGATTAATATCACTGTTACCGTCACTGTGTGAAGGTTAAAGCAGGCCACACCATGAATTCCTATTGCTTCTCCCCTTTCCAAGGACAGAGGTCTGAGTCTTGAGATACAGGAAGGAGAACCCTGTCTCTGCCTTTCCTGCAGCACAGGTTCTGCAGAAGCCTGGAGGAAGGGCTGGGGAGGGAGGCTGACTGAAGGTGCAGTCTGTGCCCCAGCCTGTCTCTTACATCCTTCCTAATCACACAGGAGATCTGCCTGTCTGACTGCCCTTCAGTGATGACCTTAGTGGACGGGCCAACAGAAGAGAGTGACAACCTGGTCTGCGTGGCTTACCGGCACCAGTTCGATGTGGTGAATGAGAGCACAGGGGAGGTCTTCAGGCTGCATCACGTGGAAGCCAGCAGGGTGAGTGATGGCCGGGGGACAAGTGGGAATCAGAGACAGCAGGAGTTGCCATGATTTAGATAGATCTAGAATTTTGTGCTGTGTATCTGTACTAGCAATATGCTGTTCAGGTTGATCTCCATCAAGTTGCACTTGTAGAGAGAACCAGAGGCTTCTATCTACTATAATACAACTGTCCCATTGTCCTGCTCCACCTTTCAGGATCTCCCCTGAATCTCCATGCTTTCAAGTAAAAGACAAAAGAGCTCAAAGCAGAATATAACTAAGTAAATGAGAATGTTTGTGGAGCAGGGAAGGCCTTTGCCGGGGAGGGCCTTTGGAGAGCAAGCTTTGTTCTCTGTGGCCTACAGACTCACAGACTGGGGATTAGGTGGCCAGGGTGGGTACAGCACCCCTTCTTCATTCCCATAGGAGCCACTACAAAAGGAAGACAGGACGGGTCTCCATTAGGACAGAGAGGGGACCATCACTGAGGGTCTGCAGCCCTTTTGCTGAGCTGCATGGAGAACAAGGATGTCTTGGTTTGGGACTCATGTAGGGCCACCAAAACTGTCTCTAGAGACGACTCTGTAGGGTGTGAACTGTTGGCACTCGCTGGAAGATGGCAGACACTCACCACCTGAAGCCTGGGACCTGTGTCACCAGAATCCACTCCCTGTCACCTGAGTAGGTCACAGAGCTCCTCAGCTCACTCTGGCTACGAGAAGGCAGGGCATGATATCAAGGAGCCACTTGTTCAGGAGCAGCACAAGCTAGCTTCCTCACTTAGTGACTGAGGACACAGAATAGCAACATGGCCCCACAGACATTACAGCTCCCCTGAGGGCTTCCACACCCACAAGGCTCCCCCACTCCACTTCAGCAGAATCAGAGGCTGGATTCTCTCCTAGGCCATGCACTTGTGTTGAACGTGTTCTACCCAGATTTTCCTTATAATTGCTAATTACTATTTTAAGAAGGCTTAGCACCTAATTAGAATGAGATCTTAAGAAAGAAAAAAATCAGAAATAGAAAAATCCAAATCTAAATAGGAGGCCATCTGTCTGCAGCTGTCATCCATCACCGTGGCACCTGTCATTTCTCTTGTCTTTACTGCTGAAGCCCATCTGAGGAGCCTTAAAAGCCACAATGCCTATGTGTCTCTTTAGATGCTTCCCTGGGCAGAGAGGGGGCATGGGGACCTATTAAGGAGCCCCAGATTATTCTAATGCTCAGCCAAGTCTGGGAGCCAGGGGTGGATTCAGTCATCACCTCAACCCTGCTGTCACTGCTTTAGAGCTTGCAAAAGATCAGTGTTATGAGCAGACTCCAGGACAGTTAAATCACAATTTCCTTGGTCAGACTAAGGGTATGGTTCAAGTTCAAGGTCACAAATTCAAACCACTTCCAAAGAAAAAACTTACTCAAGAGCTAGGGCTTTTTGTTTTTCTGTGAAGGGCCAGTATTGAGTTTAAACTCAGAGCCTCAAGCTTGCTACTCCAGGGTATCTGCCACTTGAGCAATGTCCCCAAGCCCTTTTTGCTTTACTTATTCTTCTGGTAGGGTCTCCTGTTTTTGCCCCAGGACAGTCTCAGAGGGTGATGACCCACCTACCTTCAACCTTCAACTGTGACTACCATTACTGGTGTGTGCCAATTCTGGGGCTTGAACATAGGACCTGGGCACTGTCCCTGAGTCTTTTTTGTTCAAGGCTAATGCTCTACTACTTGAGCAACAGCTTCACTTCTGGCTTTTTTAAAAATTGCTTTTGTTGTTATTATAAAGGTGATGTACAGAGGAGTTACTGTTATATAAATCAGCTAAAGAGTATGTTTCTTGTTGGACAGTGTCACCCCTTCCCTTGTTAACTCCCAGTTTCTCCCTCCCATCCCCACTCACAAGTTGTATAGTTCATTTTCACCAGTGTCCAGTGAGTACCACTGCTGCAACACTTCTGGTGCTTTACTGGCTAATTGGGCATGAGTCCCACAGACTTTCCTGCCTGGGCTGGCATTGAACTGCAGTCCTCAGATCTCAGCCTAGGATTACAGGTGTGAGCCACTGACACTTGGCAAAAGCCAGGAGTTTTTAAATAACCCCCAGGAGATAATGATATACAGACAGACCCAGTAAAATGTGTCCTGACCCTCTTCCTATCTAAGGCTTGAGCCCCAGTGCCTTAACACCTGCAGGGCAGCAGCTTCTCCTTAGAGCCTCTGACTCTTCCAGTCTGTGGACTTCTGGGGGTGAAGGCCCAATTTGTCCTTTAACAGTTCTATCTCAGCCAGGCACAGTGGCTCACACTTGTAATTCTAGCTACTTAAGAGGCCAAGATCAGGAGAATCACAGTTCAAGGCAAGCCTGAGCAAGAAGTTCATGTGGCCCTCTTCTCAACCAATATCTGGGCATGACGGCACACTCCTGTCATTCTAGATATGCAGAAGGCTGATATCAGGAGAATCACAGTTCCAGACCAGCCCAGGTTAAAAAAAAAAAGTTCACAGGATTTCTCCTCAGTGGAAGAAGCTGGTCATGGTGACACATGCCTGTCATCCCAGCTATGTCAGGAAGCATAAAATGAAAGCATCATGGTCCAGGCACAAGCTTGAGCAAAAACATGCTGGGGATATGGCTCAGGGGTAAAGTGCTTGCCTAGCAAGTGTGAATTCAAACCCTTCTACCACCAAAAGAAGGAGGAAGAGGAAGAAAGAAAGAAGTTGTTGAAGTTCTGCAAGTATAAAAGTAATTTCTGCTTTTCATGACTGCATGTGACTAGCAAAAAGAGGCAGAAAAGTCATGGCCAACAGATCTATGTCCAGTTAGTCCTTCCCCTGGCAATTGGTTTCTTATGGCTTAACCTGCTTTCCCAGGGGAACAGCCTTTACTTTAGAAACTGTCTACCAATTTCCTCAAAACAAATTTTTGTTGCTTAATGACTTTCATCAGGGTATCTACAGAGAAAAAATAATGTTATTAGACTTCTTTCAGTTACTATTCACTTATATTAGTGTCCTGATGATTCATTAGACTGCTTCTGGACATTTTTGTCTAAAAGTTTATAAAAGTCCAGGAAGAACTGGGCTTAAAATAGTTGTTTTTATGACTTCTATGTTTTGTTTTTTCTGGAACAATTCTAAAATATTCTATCTTATCTTTAATGTACTTTTTAAAAAAAAAAAAAAGATAAAGAACATTTCCATAAAGAGCATAAAAAATCTTTTAATGAAACAAAGAAATTAGTCCCCCCTCCCCTCCCTGGGTCTTGGCTGGGTGAGGATGTGGACAACCTTCCCGTGTGAATTGGCATCTTGGAGTGCTCACAGCACAGGTGGGCATGCTAAGGGAGACACAGGTATCTTTGCAATGAATCGACTGTCTAACTGGGGATCTTAGCCCTAGAAGCATGGAGAGGCAATGAGCAATGTGGTTGCTAATAACTAGTCAGAAGCAGGCCCAGCAGCAGCAAGACTAACCTTTAACCAACAGTTTCCTGCAGCCGGGAGTTGATGGCTCACTCCTGTAATCCTAGCTACTCAGGAGGCTGAGACCTGAGGATCGAGGTTCAAAGCCAGCCTGGGCAGGAAAGTCCATGAGACTCTTATCTCCAATAAACCACTCAGAAAACCGGAAGTGGCACTGTGGCTCAAGTGGTAGAGCGCTTGCCTTGAGCTGAATTGTTGAAGGATAGCGCCCAGGCCCAGAGTTTAAGCCCCACAACTTACAAAAAAAAAAAAAAAAAGTTTCCTGCAGCTTAAACCCCCAGTGCAGGGAACTGACCTGGCTCAGATCACTGGAGATTTGGTCACAAATGGCACCAGTATCTGGGCTGCAATATCTGCTGCCTGTAGCTGCCTGTAGTGCACCAGTGCTGGTTGGACTGATATAGACTCCCACCTCTGTCCCTCCCTCTTCCCATACTCCATTTGATTCCATTTCAGGTTTCATTCCACCTCAGGTTCTTAGACAGTCCTAGAGAGGAAAGGATGCTAGTAGCTGTCATCCTAGCTACTCAGAAGGCTGAGATCTGAAGACTGATTTTCTGCCCAGGCAGACAAATCCAGGAAACTCTTCACCTCCAATTAACTAGCAGAAAGTCAGAAGTGGAGGTATAGCTCAAGTGGTTGTGTGCCAACTCTGAGTGAAAAAGCCTAGAAAAATTGTGAATCCCTGAGTTCAAGCCCTGGTATTGGACAGAGAGAAAGACAGAGACAGAGACAGAAGGGAGGGAGAAGGAAGGGGAGAAAAGAGAAAGGGGGAAAGAGAGGAAGGGATGCAGAGGGAGGGAAGGAGGGAGGAAAAAAAGGAAAGAGGGAGGGGAAAGAAGAGAATAAAGGTTTAAGAAGTGCTAAAGCAACATCCTATTCTGGAAAGCAACATAAAGTTCATTGTACCAACAGGCCAGCCATGGCCTACTGCCCCAGCTCTAGCAACCAGCACTAGCCTCATTCCCAAGCCAAATCTCTCCTTGAAGGCAGCACACACTGGATCTAGAACTCGGCTGTTCCTGAGCTCAGGTTCCCCTCTTGGCATCTGCCCTGACCCTGTGGTTCTCAGGTGGACACCCATCCAGAACCATCTGGGAAGTCTGACCACAGGGCCGGCTGTGACTGCCTCTCAGCTAGGGTGAGAGGGATAGGATTCAGACGTCACTTGTTTCAACTCTATATTTGGAAGTTTTTCAAACACATATTAATGTCACCTTAAAATGCCAAGAAAATGATCTGCTTTGTGTGTGTGTGTGTGTGTGTGTGTGTGTGTGTGTGCGCGCGTGCGCACACACACACCAATACAGGGGTTTGCACTCAGGCCTGGGTGCTATCCCTGAGTTTTTGTGCTCAAGGCTAGTGCTCTACCACTGGATCCACAGCTCTACTTCTAGATTTTTGGTGGTTAATGGAGATAAGAGTCTTGCAGACTTGCCTGCCTAAGCTGGCTTCAAACCTCAGTATTCAGATCTCAGCCTCGGGAATAACTAGGATTATAGGCATGAGCACTGGTGCCCAGCAAATCTGCTTATTTTTAATGGTATGGAGGCTGACACCTGCCAGGCCCTCTCCTAGAGAGAGACAAGATGTCCATGTCCAGGCGTGAAAGGGTCACTGTGCTAAGTTCTGGTAAGCATCTGAGCAAAGTGGCCTGGCATGTCCCAGGAGGATGTGCTCAAGTCCAAGCTGTGACCTCTGTCCCTGAATGTTACCCTGAGCTATAGTCCGCCTGGTCCACCTGGCAGTGTCAGTCTGTTCATCCATCAGCAGAGTCAAACGAAAGGCCTGCTTGGAGCAGCTCCCTCAGCCTGGTGCCTAAGTGCAGGCCTGGGTCTGGAAGGCTGTGTGAACTTCCCTACTGCTGCCCCTCACCCCCACACCCCCAAACACACACAGGCTTAAACCTGAACCACAGACTGCCTTGGGCTCCTCTCCCACTCATCTCCAAATGACCTTTTCTCCCTCCAGAATCTTCCCAACAATCTATGAACACTCATGTCCCCATTTTTACACAAAAGGACACTGAGGCTCAGAAAGGAGTCTTACTTACATACCCAAACCACACAGCAGAGGCAGGACTCTGAGCCAGGCTGCCTGACTCCAGAGGTCATGCCCTTGAGCTGAGCGTGCTGATGCCTCCACAGCCAGTGTGGTGGGTGGGGACACACGTCATGTGGAAGCTCAGAGTCCAGCTGAGCAGAGTCCAGCTAAGCCAAGCGCCCTACAACCCCAGACCTCTGAGAGAGTACAGCTTGTAGCCTGCATCTCTAAAGCAGCAGGCCCAGCAGGTGTGCTGAGGAGACAGCAGTGAAAGACACAATTCTGCCTCAGGAGCCTGACATGACAGTCTGGGGAAGGAGCAGTGAACACTGAATGATGCAGGCTGTGCAGAACACTTAAGTAGGGGGTGGGAGATAGAGCAACACAGGGTTATTATATGGGCTCTGAAACCCTACTTCTTTCTGATTCCCAGTGAAGCACTGATCAGTTTCTCACTCTCTTAATGCCTGCCTTAATTCAGATATTTCTCTCCCATACTTGTAGTCATTGGAGCCCTGCTCCCTGGTGGCACCCATGCTGGGTGCCAGAGAAGCAGAAGTGACCTGCCAGGACCCAAGTTTCAGAGGGCCAAGGCTAACTCCAGACATGCTAACTTGAGTCTTTTCCGATGTCACTGTCCTGCCCACCACTACCGCTGCCCATTATCATTGCAGGTTAATTTCGTTGCAGCTATTGATGTGTATGAAGACGGAGAAGCCGGCCTGCTACTGTGCTACAACTGTAAGTCAAGGATGCGTTCTTCTGTCTGTGCACCAACATGGACTGTTCCAGGCAGCAGAAAGCAGCCTATCCTTGCATCACCTGGCATAACTGTGCTCCAGGAAGTGTCTAAAACTTGCTTCCCCCACACCCCACCCCCGATTTCCCACCATACCCTAGACTTCTTGATGACTGGTGTCAGAGCCACAGCCTGTGAAAATGTCTCCAGATGTGGCAGGGATGGCAGTGGCCTCCAGGTAGAGGCCTTAATGTGTGCTTTGTGCTGTGCTTAGGGTACAACAGTCACTGTCTCATTCAAGTTATATAGCTACTAAGCCTCAGGCCAGGGATTGCATCTAGGGCCCTTTTGACTCCAGTACCCCAAATATTAACTTCTGTTATTGCAGGTTGGTATACCTTACATGAAATGCTTAGAAGTGTTTCAGATTCAGCTCTTGTAGGATTTTGGAATACTTGCACGTACATGACGAGATATCTTGGGATGGAACCAAGTCTGAACACTGAGTTCAGCCCAGAGCATCGACATTTTGACTGTGAAATGTCACATGAGGTCAGGTATGGGATTTTTCCACTTGTTGGCACTCAGAAAGTTTCATGTTTTGGATCATTTTGGATTTCAGGTTTTTGTGTTAGTGATGCACATCACATTTTGTTTGCATTTCTCACATGTTCATGAACTCAGCCTCATAGGGCTCCTCAGCCTACTGGATTGATTTGGATCAGGTCAGGTAGCAGGGTGGGTTTGGGGCAGACCAAGGCATCAGGAAGTATCTTCAAGGACTTTCAACATTTTCAACAAAATAGATTTTCTTTCTAATAGCAAAAAGAAACAAGATAATTTTATCAGTTTAGAATAGTAATGCTGTTTATAGCTAGCAGATCACGTGTGTATGTGTGTGTGTGTGTGTGTACATGTACACGTACACACATACATGCACTGATGCTACAGCTTGAACTCAGGGCTTGGGTGCTGTCCCAGAGCTCTCTTGCTCAAGGCTAGTGCTCTACCACTTGAGCCACAGCTCCACTTTTTGCTTTTTAGTGGTTTATTGGAGATAAGAGTCTCGTGGACTTTCCTGCTTGGACTTTGAACCTCAATCTTCAGAATTCAGCTTCCTGAATGGTTAAGATTACAGGCATTAGCCACCAAAGCCATCCAGCTCAGATACTTTGATAAATTAATATGTGGATTAACAAACTTGGGGAAACCAAATATCAGCAGAGAAATTTGTTCGGTATTTTCAAAGGTCAAGATGTGTGATAATGCTGGGTGCTGATAGCTCATACTTATAATCCTAGCTACTCAAGAGGCTGAGATCTGAGTATCATGGTTCAAAGCCAGCCTGGGCAGGAAAGTCTGAGAGACTTGTATGTCCAATTAACCACCAGAAAACCAGAAGTGTGGCTGTGGCTCGAAGTGGTAGAGAACTACCCTTGAGTAAAAGAGCTCAGGGACAGCATCCAGGCCCTGAGTTCAAGCCCCGACCAAAAAATAAAAAAAAAGATTTAAAAAGTTATAGGAAAGGAAAATTTTCTACATTTAGTTGCTCTTTGAGGATTTTTTTGCTTTTGGAGACTCTAGGGTTTGAACTCAAAGCCTCATTCTTGCTAGGCTGACACATTAATACTGAACTACACCTCCATCCTTGTTTTTTGCTGATCACTTTTAGGCTAGTTCCAGCTTTAGGCTTCCTTTAGTTCCTAGGATCTCAGGTGCAAACCACCATGTCTAGCTCCCCTATGTGGAGACAGGATCTTGCAGACTTTTCTGCCTGGGCTGGCCTGGAACCACGGTCCTCCTAATCTCAGCTTCCCATGTATCTTGGAATGACAGGTGTGTATCACTGCATCAAGCTATGGGTTGAAGAAGAGGTTCAAAAATGTCTGTCTGGGCTGGCCTTGAACCACAATTCTGTTCTCAACCTCCCAAGTAACTAGGACTCCAGTCCTGAGCCACCATACCTTAAACCTTCCTCAAAATAGTTGATCTTTCAAATGTGGTCTTTTCATTTCACTGACAATTCTGTGGGGAAACAAAATTAACAAAAAGAAATTAAAAACAAACAGTACAAAAAGTAAAGTAAAATTTAAAATTTTTTCAATTAAAAAAAAAAAAGGAGCCAGGTGCCATTGGCTCACATCTGTAGCTACTCAGGAGGCTGAGATCTGAGAATTGCAGTTCAAAGCCAGCCGGGGCAGAAAAGACCATGGGACTCTTATCTACAATTAAACACCAGAAAACTGGAAGTGGTGCTGTGACTCAAGATAGATTGCTCACCTTGAGCTGAAGAGTGCAGGGACAGCACCCAGGCCCAGAGTTCAAGTTCCACAACAGACACAAAAAAAAAAAGAAGGAAAAAAAATATAGCAGAATATTAAAAAAAAAAAAAAAACAGGTATTTCTTTTGACTTCCTGAAAGGACATGGGGATCCGAGCGAAAGAGATGCTAAGTACAGCAGTAGGTTTTATTTTTCATTTTATTTTACTTTTTTTGGTGCCAGTACAGTAGACAGTGGTTCATGAATGAGGTAGTTTCAGATGGTAAAGGCAGAAGGGAAGGCTTTCATAGGTGAGCACAGAGCAAAGGAAAAACACGTACTTGGTTCCGTTGGGGCAGAAGCTGTTCGTGGATCTCCTACTTAGAGGTCAGCTAGCAGTTAGTTCCTGATTCTTTTCTACACACTGTATTGGGATTATATTTGCTTACGTACAAACCCTGGACACTGGAGCTTCCTCAACCTAACAGCTTCCCAATTATTTGAACAGCATCAAAAGAAAACTGTGGCTCACTGAGAGTTTTCATCAGCACATTGCCCTGGGCAGTGATTGGCTCCCAGACTGCCAGGCAGCCTCTGTCCAGGCACCTTTGCACACTACAGGTGTAGGTAGGATGTTATTAAATCGGCACAGCAAGTTGGCCCATGAGCAGTTACTCTTAAGAAATAATCAACAAACTGTGATGGACGAATTCTTGATTGTCTATTACAACATCTTTTGTAAAGTGGGAAGTTTGGGAAACTAAATGGGAAGGAGAGGAGACTACAGCAATGTAAATGTTCATGTGCTGGAAGAGTGCATAGAAGAAATGTACAACATATTGATAAAAGCAAATTACTTTGGTTTGATTTGGTTTTTGGTCCTGGGATTGAACCCAGGGTCTTGTTCATGCTAGACAAGTGCTCTACCACTTGAACCAAGCCTCCAGCCCTTTTGTCTAGTTTTTTTGTCTCAAGCTACAGTCTTGCTAACTTTGCCTGGGCTATCCTGGAGCCCTGGGTTCTCCTGTCTCTGTTTTCCAAATGCTTGGATTACATGTATATGCTACCACACCTGGCTAATAAAGCTGTTTTTAAAGTTAGGAAAAGTAGTGAGCACCTGTATTTGGGAGGTAGAAGCAGGAGGATCACAAGTTCAAAGCCAGCCTAAACTACATAGACCTTATCTCAGGAAACACTGTACAATAATTTCAAATAATTTTTATGGCTAAATATATGGTTTATGTAATAGGAGGTGCCTTTGTTTCTACATGAACATCTCACTATAAGCTAAGCCACATGGACTTGGGTCTAGGGTTAAGAACAGGTCAGAACCAGGGTGATTGAGTTAACTGGGCATTAATGTAGTGCTAGCTCAAGTCCATTAAGGGGCTACAACCCCTCACATAAAATGTTGGGGACAGGGCACAGCTCCCACCCCACTTGTCCTGAAATGGGCTGAGATTGCGTCCTCCACCCCAGGCTGCCATCAGTCCCTGTCCAGGTCTTGTGTGAGAAAGGGTGGCAAGAACAAAGAAGCATACTGGTTCTTCTGGTAGACTCCAGGTCAACTGTGATTCTCCTTGCCCAAATGTCCTCATCTGTAAAGTGAGAATAATAACAGCACCTTCTTTCTAAAGTATACAGACTAAATAGGATGTTTTAAAGCTCAATGCCTAGAGTGTAACCTCTTCCAGTCAGCAGTTGTTAGTATTCATATTCATAGAAGTCATGCTATTCAGGCTCAACTTCCCTGTGATCTGGCTTTAGCCTCAAGGCAGGATTGCTCCAGCTGTCTCTAAAGAACTAGCAGTGGGGGAAAAGGGGTGGGTGCTGTTCCAGTGGCCTGCTTTCCCTCTCTGACTGCAGTGATCTAAGTGTTGTCTCTAACAAAATGAATCACTGTTGTTTTCCTTACAGACAGTTGCATCTATAAAAAGGTGTGCCCCTTTAATGGTGGCTCCTTTCTGGTTCAACCCTCTGCGTCAGATTTCCAGTTCTGTTGGAACCAGGCTCCCTATGCAGTTGGTAAGAAAAACATTTCTATGCCATGTGAAGCCCCTTGGCACAATTAATACACACTAAAAAAAAAAAAAAGGAGAATAAAACAGGCTCCACTGGGGGGCAAATATCAGTGGGAGGAAGAGAGGAGGGTGAAGGAGTGTGAATTTGGTTGGAGTACTTTATATGCATATATGAAAACAGAACAATGAAACCATTTGGAATTGTCTTAAGGGGAGAGGGAGAAGAGAGAGTGATTGAAATTGTGTACATATAAGCTGCTCTTTAAGTGCTCTTTCTTACTTTTTCTTTTTGTTCCCCTTTTGAGACATTTGTCCCATCTACTTTTTCCTCTTCTCAGCCTGTGAGCATTTGGAAGCAATTAAATATCACCTGTAGGCACTTAGTTGTTATTTGTGGAGCTTGTTTTTCCTTTTAGGACACTGATTGGCTTTTAGCCCTGGTCAGTTACTTATTTAGGTACTGAGGTTTGAACTTGCTAGATAGTTGCTCTACCACTTGAGCCATGTCTCTTTTTTATTTTGGAGCTTGAAATTCTTCAATCACAGAATGCCTACCACTGAAACTCTGGCTTGTGAATGGTAGTCCTTGTGATTGTGGCTCAAGATTCCTAGCTGGACCTTGCCTCTGAGAGTCAGATCAGAGCAAAGCATGTTCCAGTTAGGACTGTTTTCCTCACAAGAAGATTCTGCTATCAGCCCACATTATAGAATGTGAGGGGACCACAGGAATGGACCCAAGATCCTAGGGCATCTGGTCAGGCTCTGATGACAATGAGATGTTGCAAAAAGGGGATGGTAGAGTGGAAAATGAGGCAGATGCTGGTGGCTCATGCCTGTAATCCATGCTACCCAGGAAGCTGAGATCTGAGGATAGGGGTTTGAAGTCAGCCCAGGCTAGAAAGGTCCCTGTTAGACTCTTCTCTCCAATAAACCACTCAAAAAACAGAAGTAGCACTGTGGCCAAAATGGTAGAATGCTAGCTTTGAGCACAAAGAGATTCAGGGACAGTGCCCAAGCCCTGAGTTCAAGACCCACACTGACCCAAAAAAAAAAAAAAGAGTGGAAAATGACTTCTAGGTTTTGAATGCCACTAGAGGTCACCTGAGAGATCAAGCCAAGGGTGCTGTGGACTGGGAAGCTTAGAAAGTAGAAGCCTGGCAGTCCCAGACACTCAAGGAGGTAAATAGGAAGATCAAAATTCAAGGCCAAACAAAAATGTTGACAAGACTTGGTACAGTGGCATGCACCTGTCATGCTAGCTATGTGGGAAGCAGCAATAGGATTGTGGTTCAGGCCAGCTGAAGCATAAACATGAGACCCTCCATCTCAAGAATAAAGCAAAAAAGGCAGGGGACATGACTCATATGGTAAAGCACTGGCTAAGGGCAAGGCCCTGAGTTCAAACCCCAGTACTGCAACAACAACAAAAAAAGTTAAAAAAAGAAAAGTTTCAGCCACTTTGGGACCACAGGCCAGAGTCATAAAGGAGTTCCAACCTGCTGGGGACACACGGCTGGAGTTTCCAGGCAAGATGGCGTGTACCCAGGGAGAGGATGTGTAAAACATGGACTGGACAGTGGTGGGAGGGGAGAGGGTGGCCTGTGGGATCTGGCCTGTGAGTAGCCAGGTCTGGTAATGGGGCTTCAGAGGGAGAAATGGCCATGTGAACTGAGGAGAGTACACACTGGAGGCAGATATTTAGCCACAAAGGAGGTACTCGGCCCATAGGAGTACAAGCCACCGCAGCACTGGGGTTCTGTCCATAGAAGGAAGAGGAGAAGCATCAGAATAGGAGAGGTGGAAGCTTCTAGAGCACTGAGGGTAACGGTGAGCCAGTCATAGCCAGTCTGCAACCAGCAGGCCAGCAGGCCGGGCTGTGACCGGAATGTTCACTTGCAGTGTGCGCCTTCCCATACCTCCTGGCCTTTACCACCGACTCCATGGAGATCCGCCTGGTGGTGAACGGGAACCTGGTCCACACGGCCGTGGTGCCGCAGCTGCAGCTTGTGGCCTCCAGGGTGAGTAAATGGGGATTTCACTTCTGTGTTGGGTTCCGGGGGCCCCAAAGCACTGTGAGATCTGAGGTGAGCATAGAATTGCCTCCCACCAAGTCAGACCAATGACAGCCGCACAGCTGCTGTGCCGCAGGGCCAGAGACGGAAGGCTGAGCAGTGACTGCCCAGGTTCTCCTGTGGCCTCCTCACACTTCAAAACACTCGGATTTGGTAGATGTAGCCACTGGGTGCTAGTAGCTGATTGAGGGGCACTCAGTTGGAAAGACACCCCTCCCACACTGAGCCAGTTATTTATGTCATTGTCACGTGAAGATAGTATGAGTCTAGAAAACTAGAAGCCCTTTCGTTCTTGGCCACTTTCTAGGCCCAATTTGAGTTTGTGCCTGTAAACATGGCTCATAGATTCTTCCATGTCTCAGAGGGATACAGGAATGCAGATAGCATCCCAAGATGTTGTCCATTGCTGCCACACAGTCCCACAGCCTTCATTCTAGTCCCTGCCCACAGTTGGCTCCCTGAACATCTCTGTGCCTGCCAGGCTAGGCTGGGACCTATACCCTTGTGGCACTTTGTGTGTGTGTGTGTGTGTGTGTGTGTATATGCATGTGCACACATGTGCGTACATTTGCACCTGTCCAAGGGCTTCAACTAAGGGCCTGGGCACTGTCCCTTGGCTTTTCTGTTTAATGAGAGTGCTCTACCACTTGAGCCACAGCTCTACTTCTGGATTTGTGGTGGTTAATTGGAGATAAAAGTCTCATGGACTTTCCTGCCCAGCCTGGCTTCAAACTGTGATCCACAGATCTCAGCCTTCTGAGTAGTGAGAAATCAGGTATAAGCCACTGGCACCCAGCTTCTGTGGTACTTTTTGTGGGCCATGGGGCTTATACTCAGGGCTTGGGCACTGTTCCTCAACTCTTTTGCTCAAGACTAGTGGTCTACCACTTTAAGCCAGAGCACCACTTCTGGTTTTCTGGGGGTTAATTGGAGGTAAGAGTCTGCCAGGCTGGCTTCTAACCTTAGTCCTCACATTTCAGCCTTTTCAGAAGCTAGGAATACAGGTGTGAGCCACCAATGCCTGGCCTACAGCACTTCTAAAATTTTTTCTATTATTATATAGATGATGTACAGAGGAGTTAGAGTTATTTAAGTTGGATAGAGAGTACATTTCTTTCTAGAGAATGTCACCCCGTCCCTCATTCATTCCCAGTTTCTCCCTCCCATCCCCACCCACAAGTTGTATAGTTCATTTTCAACACGGTGGTGAGTGCCACTGCTGCATTTGTTCACTTTCTGTCCCTCCCAAATACAGATAAACAAACAGGACAAAACAAAAAGAAAATAAAATCCTATTGTTTCCATTCTGGAGTTCATTTTGATAAATATTATTTTATATTAGAGACTAATAGGCATTGCACCTTCGTGTTTCTTCCCTAAGAGTGTCCCCCCTTGGTCTCACTGTATGTGAATGCCTAGTCCTGTATAATTTATCATGATCCAGTGTATTTAGATCTAGCTTCCATGTATGAGAGAAAACATGGCTATTTGTGTCTCTGAGCTTGGCTTACCTCACTTAACATGGTTTGTTCTAGGTCCATCCATTTTCCTGCAAATATTGCAATATTCTTTTTAATGGCTGTGTAAAATTCCATTGTGTATAGGTACTACATTTTTTGCATCCACTCATCTATTGTAGAGCATCTGGGCTGTTTCCATAACTTGGCTATTGTGAATAGTGCAGCAGTGAACATGGATATGCAGGTGTCTTTACCATATCTTGACTTGTGATGCTCTGGGCAGATGCCTGGGGGGGGGGGGGGGTATGGCTGGGTGATAGGGAAATTCTATGTTTAGTTTAGTTGAGGAATCTTGAGACTGCTGTCTAGAGTGGTTGTACTAGTTTACATTCCCACCAACAATGTATTAGGGTTCCTTTTATCCCACATCCTTTCCAGCATTCATTGTTGTTTGAATTCACGATGTTGGTCAATCTAACTGGAGTTAGGTAGAATCTCGGAGTTGTTTTGATTTGTATTTCCTTTATAGCCAGGAATGATGAGCATTTCTTCATATGTTTCTTTGCCATTCTTCTGAGAAGTCTCTTCTTCACTCCTTTGCCCATTTCGTAATTGGTTTACAAGTTTGGGAGGGGTTAGTTTCTTGAGCTCTTTGTATATTTTGGATATCAGGCCTTTGTCAGATATATTGCTGGTAAAGATCTTCTTCCAGTCTGTTGTCTGTCTTCCTAGTTCAGTAACTATGTCCTTGCTGTGCAGAAACGTTTTATTTTTATGTCATCCCATTTGTCAAGTCTCTCTCCTATCTACTGTGCCACTAGGACTCTTTTCAACAAGTTTCTGCCTATGTGTGGCACTTTTTGATCCTGCCACTGATCACACTTGGTGGATGGTGGCTGTTTTTGTGTCTCCCTACCTCACCATAGCTGTGACAGCAGGGCCCAAGCTGCCTTAGTCACCAGCAGCACCAGTGTGTGCTGCCAGTGCCCAACCCCCAATGCTGGAAGAAGTGTGCATGCGCATGTCCATGTGCATGTATGTGTGTTGGTTGATTATAAATTTTGCTGATACAGTTTTCAGTTTACAATAGTAGTATACAGTGCTCTTTATCACCAAATATTAGCCAGCTAGTTCTCACAAAATGCTTTTGCTAATTTTTGCCAATCCCTGCTATTCACAGCAAACCTATAGCAGTAATCCCACCATGATTTTCCAGTGGGATGGTATTCCACCCACTCATTCTTTTTCCAGCAAGTTTAGTATCAAAGAATGTAATGTATAGTCACACATTATATTGCTATACTATTAAACTATCATATAGTTTAATACACAGTAATGTTAATATGCTAACAGTGGTTTAATAGGCTGTTACATTAATGGAAAAAGCAATCAGTCATTAAACTAGGACTTATTGCAGCTTCAGCCCTAGATTCAACACACTTTTAATTTTCATTGGTAATATCTTCATTTTTTTCCTAGTACCAGGGCTTGAACTCAGAGCCTTGAGCTCTTGCTTGTCTTGCTTGCTCACAGATGTAGCTCAATCACTTGCGCCATCTAGCCAGCTAGATTTTTGTTGGTTAATTAGAAATAAAGTATCCCATTTTCTGCCCAGGCTGGCTTTGAACCACAATTCTCCAGGTCTCAGCCTCCTGAGTAGTTGGGATTACAGATGTGAGCTATCGGTGCCTGGCTTTAGTCACTTTAACTTTAGACAAAATAATCAAGCTCTGATTTGCATCACTTTCCACTTGCTGTGGCATAGTCCACTGTGGTTAGTGTCCTGTCTCCAGTGTTGTGCTCAGAGAGTGGAGTCAGGAAAAGCAGAATAGTAGCCTCCAAGAATGTCTCCAGTGAACACAAGCTCTCAATAACAGAAACCACAGATAACAGTAATATGGTGAAATAATTAGGAATGGCTGGATTTTGGCATTGAATACCTTTTAACATATAAGTATCTGCCATTTAAGTTTTTTAATGGATGGCCTGCAAAAATTTCTGACAGGTGGCTCTTGTGAGTCACACTCAGCATCCTACTACTGCCCTTGTCACCAAAATCAGCACCAAAATCAGCACGTATAGGGGGGCGGGAGTGTTCGCTGCATCAGTGAATGAATGAGCCATTTCTTACCTGTAGTCCTCAGGGACTCTGGGTATGTGACATGTTGGTGTCTGCCAGAGTAGGGGAGGTCAACAGGTACATCAGGAAAGGGGGTAGGGAACTGGACCATCAGGAGAGGCTGGCTGCACAGGGAAACCTCGGGAAGCCACCCCAGCACAAGGTACTATACTGCAAGCTCCCAGGAGGGCAGGAGGTCGCAGACCAGCCTGGACCAATCAGAGGCTGGGGAGTGGTGCAGGAAGCAGGGATGCCAGGCAGCTCGGTGACACTTCCTCTCTCCTTCCAGTCGGACATATACTTCACAGCGGCCGCAGCTGCGCCCGAGATTTCATCTGGAGGCAGCTCCAAGGGGGCCAGTGCCCACAGTTCTCCTCAGACACCCCCAGGCCGAGACACTCCAGTCTTTCCTTCTTCCCTGGGGGAAGGTGAAGTCCACTTTTACTCTCCTTACTAATTTGATCCTCTTGGATTTCTCTGGTTTACTGTCAAATATCTACACATGTGATCACTGCCTAAGAAATGACTATTTAAAGCCATTTAAAAAAAAAAATGGGATTGGAAATATGGCTTAGTTGGTGGAGAGAAAGTATACTGAATTTATAATTTATTATTACTTATTAATCTGAATTGATTATATATTTAAACCTGACTTACAAGCTAAGAGACTACCTAGGAGGAGGACAGAGAAAATAGAAAAACAGAGTGCATAACTGTGTAACACATTGTAAGTACATATGAGAGCAGCTCAGCTATAGATAGATAGATAGATAGATAGATAGATAGATAGATAGATAGATAGATAGTAGGGGGATGGGGAAGGAGAAACAGGCCTCATAGGTGAGTGGGATCTAGCCAGAGGGTGTTGTGCTGGCTGGGAGGATAAAGGATGTTAACTTCTATCCAAATAGATTATTTGCAACTAAGAAAATAGAACAAGGAAACCTGTCAGGAATGCTATTTTTAGAGACAGCAAGAAGTGATAGAGGAGGCAAAAATGATTGGAATAATATATAGAAATAAAAATCTTGTGATTTTAAAAAAGAATTCAGTTATGAGAAATATTTCAGAGGGGATAAGGGGGGATCAAAGATTTGAGAGCACCCAGTTTGGTTATTTCCTTCAGGGAGGTTAATTATAGTGGGTTTTACTGATGGGTATGGTAGTACACACTTATAATCCCAGCACTTGGAAAGGTTTCTTTGCAGTTTTTAGAGGGTCTGTTTTTGTGTGTGTGCTGGTATTGGAGCTGGACCTCAGGACCTCATGCTTTTGTTTGCCTTTTTTTGTTCAAAGTTGACATTCTACCACTTGAGCCACACCTCCACTTCTGGCTTTTTGCTGGTTAATTGGATAAGAGTCGTTTCGGATTTTTCTGCCCTGGCTGGTTTTGAACTGCAGTCCTCAGATCTCAGCCTCCTGAGTAGCCACCAGCACCTGGCTAACACGAGAGAGGTTAAGGAAGATGAATCCAGCTCCAGGCCAGCCTGGTATACATAGTAAGGCTATCTCAAAACAACCAAAAATTGTGAAGTCCATTTTATAACTAACAGTACATAGGTACTGCAAGGCCGTGGCATTGCACTGCATACCCTGTTCTCCCGGTGGGTAGCTTTGCCTGTGAACTTCAGAAGCCTTGCGTGGTTCCTGCCTGCTGGCTGTGAACAGTTTGGAGTTGTACAACTTCTCTCCACACCAGTTGCCTTTGTCACTCACCGTTAAGATAACTCCAGGACTCTAGGCAGCTTTTTTTCTTATCTAGCCTATTTCCTGTGCAAGCATAAGTAGTGAACACATTTTACCTAACTTGCCCTGACACAACACAGACTATCACACACTCATGTAAGACCGGGGAGATCAGCACGAAACATAAAATCTTCCTTCAGGCTAATGATATTGAGGAATAAGAAGTTATTCTCTTGTAAATAACCTGGGCCTAAAGTTCTGATGTTCTTTTCTTAATTGTGTTTCAGGTGAAATTCAGTCTAAAAATCTGTACAAGATCCCACTTAGAAACCTTGTGGGCAGAAGCATCGAACGACCCCTGAAATCGCCCCTGGTCTCCAAGGTCATCACCCCGCCCACTTCCATAGGCCTTGGCATTGCTGCCATTCCTGTCACACACTCTTTGTCCCTGTCTCGAATGGAGATTAAAGAAATAGCAAGCAGGACCCGAAGGGAACTGCTAGGTAATAGTTTTTTTCCTTTTTTTTTTTCTTTTGTGACTGTACTGGGGCTTAAACTCAGGGCTTGGGTGCTGTCCCTTAGCTTTTCTGCTTAAGGCTGGTGCTCTACCACTTGAGTCAAGCTTCACTTTTGGCTTTTTGGTAGTTAATTGGAAATAAGTCTCATGGACTTTCCTCCCTGGGCTAGCTTTGAACCTTGATCCTCAGATCTCAGCCTCCTGAGTAGCTAGGATTACAGATGCGAGTCATCAGTACCTGGTGGTAATAGCTTTCAGTGTTTATGTTATCACATTTGTAAATAGAATAGCTGGTTATAAATAGTTTATATATAGTATAAATTATGGTACAAGTTATAGAATAAGTTATAGTACATCTACACCAAGGAATTCCTTATCATTTGCCACCAACAACTATTAGCACAGAAAGCTACTCAAGCCATGTTTAAAAGGGAAACAAAAGCTTATAAAATACTAGTCTGGAGTATACAAAGTTTTTAAATAGAAGTATGTATATCTGAGAACCTAAGAAAGTATTAGAAGTTACAGCTTGTAGTTTTCAGACATTTGATATCGGTCAGCCGAAGGCAGGAATCTGCCACATCTTTATAACTGCGTCCCAGCCCACTTGTCACTTCCCACAGCCTCTTGCTATAGGTCGGGCCTTTGGGGCTGTCCAGAGGCAAGGTGTACCCCTGTCAGTACAGATGGAGACCAGACCAGAGAAGCATCAAGCATTGTGGGCATCATCAGAAGCCTAGACAGTTTCATAAGCATTTTGTTGTTGGTGGTGGTGGTGGTCATGGGGCCTGGGCACTGTCCCTCAGCTCTTCAGCTCAAGGTAACGCTCTACCACTTGAGCTACAGTGCCACTTCCAGCTTTTTCTGCTTATATGGTGTTGAGGAATCGAACCCAGGGCCTCAAGAATGCAAGGCATGGGCTGGGAAGGTGGCTCAGTGGTAGAGCACTTACCTTGCATGCATGAGGCCCTGGGTTCGATTCCTCAGCACCACATAAGCAAAAAAAAAAAAAAAAAGAATGCAAGGCATGTACTTTACCACTGAGCCACCTTTCCAGCCAGCCCCTCATAAACTTTTTGTTCAGATTTATGGAAAGAAAATAAATAGGAAGTGTTTATTTACAGGTTAAACCAGTAAGAACTGGTTTGCAAAATTGCATTGGGGGGGCTGGGAAGGTGGCTCAGTGGTAGAGCGCTTGCCTTGCATGCCTGAGGCCCTGGATTTGATTCCTCAGCACCACATAAGCAAAAAAGAAAAAAGCCAGAAGTGGCGCTGTGGCTCAAGTGGTAGAGCGCTAGCCTTGAGCTGAAGAGCTGAGGGACAGCGCCCAGGCCCAGAGTTCAGGCCCCACAACCAGACCCCCCCCCAAAAAAATTGCATTGGGATCTGCAGGATAAAAGTAGCAGGACATCAGCTTTAGCACATCTCTGACTGCAGTAATGTCTTCGGAACAACTGAAGGAGGGGACTCGGCTCACCCAATAGGGCAGGCTTAACACTGATGGAGCAGTTTTCAAAGTTGGTGTCTTACAGTTTGTAAAATATGAACATTCCTATTTTCAGTCTGTTCTTCTATGTAAAAGCTCTATCTGTGGACCACGATTTTACATACTGTGCTTTTCAGAAACTGCACCTTGAAGAATGACAATCACTAGCCACAGGACTGTGGGACTGTCTCCTTGTAGGACTTCCAAGTCTAGGGGTAGGGGTGGCATTAGAGCAATGCAAACATGCTCTATGATCATAAGGGATGAAAAGAACCTTCCAGCAATAAGGAAGCTACATTTGGAAATAGATATTCCATCATTTTCTTGACTCTGACCCAACTATACCAATATGCCCTAGGACTAAGGGTTTTTTTTTTTCTACTTCCAAGGCAGCATTATGGTAATGACAGGCTGACCTGTGGTATCTCCCCTGTAATCCAGGCCTCTGCGACGAAGGAGGGCCCAGGTCAGAAGGAACACCAAGGGCCAAATCAAAAGCCCGGAAGCGGTTAGAAGAAAGCCAAGGAGGCGCCAAAGCAGAGACCGTGAGATCAACTAGCAATGACAGGTAAAGGCAGTGTCGCCCCTGCCCAGAGGGTGCCCTGTGGGTACCACACCTGTGCACAGAATGCCCTTTGACCCCACCACACAGGGTCAGCATCCAGTTCCTCTTAAGATCCCCAGAGGGCACAGCTGCCAGGATGGAGTCTCCGCAAGTGGGACCTCGACAAGTGGTCCCTAACAAGTGGGGCTCCTCACTAGCAGTCCAGCATACTAAGAGAGGGAGGGGTAATTCAGTAGAAGGACACTTGCCTATGAGCAAGGCCATGGGTTGGTCCCCAGCACTCCAAAAACAAAAAATATAGTAATAAGAGAGTGTACATTTTTTTCTGTCAGGTGTGGGGCTTGAACTCAGGGCCAGGGCTTGTCCCTGAGCTCTTTTGCTCAAGGCTAGCACTCTACCACTTTGAGCTACAGTGTCACTTCCAGTTTTCTGGTGGTTTATTGGAGATAAAAGTCTCACAGACTTTCCTGCCTGGGCTGGCTTTGAACTGAGCCTCAGATCTCAGCCTCCTGAGTAGCTAGGATGACAGGTGTGAGCCACCAGCACCTGAGTAGCTAAGATTACAGGCATGAGCTACCAGCACCCAGTGAGATTGTAATTGTTTTGTCCCAGAAATTTGATAGATTTAAAAAACTATTAAGAGTGCAGGGAAAGCGAAGCTGCCCAGTCCTACAGGGCATGTGAACAAGCTCAGCATCACTGAGTAGACACTGGCTGTCCTTCAGTGGTACCATGCATGTTCCTTGGGATGGTACTTCATTCACTCAGCGCTCACTTGCTGAACCCAGCCCTGAGCCGAGAGCTGACACAGGAGACAACCAACCCCTCTCTGCTTCCGGTCGGCTCACAGGCCAGTGGAGACGGCCAACCGGAGCCTAAGCAGTGACTGAAGGGCTAGGAAGCAGGTGGTGAGGAATGCCACCCATCCTACACCTCAAACACCAGGAAAGGCTGAGCCCTGTGTAAGACCAGTAAACACAAACCTCCAAGAGCAGTCCTTGCTTCAGCCCAATCTAGATGACATGCGACTTCACATCCTAGAGAGAAGCAGGCAGTAACCCTTACGGAGAGACAAGTTAAAACCTCAGTGGCAGGTAGATGTCCATTTTGACAGGGGATCAAAAAAAGTGTTTAAGGAAATGGCATGGAACCAGGCTTAAAGTGCATGTAAGGATTTATGGGAATAATTCCTATGACATCCAGAGCCTGCAGCCAGAGTGGTACGGTCAGAGAGAAAGGAGAGAGGCAAGGAAGCAACCTCATGTGCCCGTGCTGTCTGCCTGCGGGCCCTGTGCTGGGAAGGGGCTTCCTGCACTCCCTCACCTCCCCATCATGGAGGGGGTGCAGATAAAGCTGATGAGCCCAGATGAGCTGGACGCTGCAGACAGGAGAGGCCCAGTCCCCGGGTGTCCCCAGGACGCCTTAACAATGACACTTTTTCTCTTTCAGAATCCCATCAGGCATCTTGGAAAGTCCTTGGACTTTGGAAGCCAATCCCGACAGGCATTTCCACTCGGCAAGCTCAGACCAAGATGCTGTGGTAGACAGAGAGGGCGACCCTGCCTCGGCCAGCAGCCTCTTCCAGCTCATAGCTTCCTCTGATGAAGACGTTATTGACTTGAAGTAGAGTCCACACTTCATCTGCATCCTTAGTTTTCTTATGGAAGTTTATACTCTTTAAGCAGTTTTAACATCATCTCTCAACAAAATGTGGCTCTCAGCCTGTCAGTGATCTATTGGACCAAACCTTGTGTACCCTTGGCCAGTTTGGGTCACTCTCCAGTGTCCGGTGCCATCTTTCCTGACCTTTGTTTTTTTTTCCGTTAAGGAACCATCAGTTTCCTTGTAATAAAGGTGGTAGATTTCATTGAAGTTTTAGATCAAAACTTTGAATAAATCAAAAATCTTCATTCTTATTTACTGCAACCTTCTCATATTTTATATACTTAGGTGGGAAATTATTTTTTTCATTACAAATTTGATTTGTGTCACACAATGTCTTCTTTTATAAAGAAAAGCCATTGCGTTTAAACTTTATTATCAGTAAGTTTTCTTTCTGCACTTTGGCCCCTGTTACTGTTTGACTTCACTGTGATGGAAAGCTCGCTCTGCTTCTACCTGTGGACTCGAGGGGGATGAATGAATGCCTAGGTTGCAGAGGGTCCCCTTCCTCCTCTGCCTCTTGAAAAATAATAAGGCAAGGGAACTTGTCAGTCTGAAGAGTATGTTGTCTGGTTTTGTTACTTTGAGATCATATAACCAAACAATTACCCTAATATTCCATGTCCCCACTTTCCCCAGCTCCATCCTCAGGGAAGAAATGGCGGGGGGGGGGGGGGGGATGGGGGACCATAAATGCAATAATGAAATGTGAGCCTCTGGCTGGATCAAAGTAGAAAAATCTAGCTTCTAGTGAAACTGGCTCAAGTGGTAGAATGCCAGCCTTGGGTGGAAAAAGCCAAGCACGAATATGAGTCTGAGTTCAAACCCCAGTAGAAAGAAAAGGAAGGGAGGAGAAAGGAAGTAAAGGATAGAAAATCTAGCTTCACTGACATTATTTGTAAAAAGTGAGCATCATTTACCCTTATTAGTTGATTCTATTTTATTATACCTCTTCTTGCCTATACTTCTCTCTGGAAAGCAATTCAGTAATGTGCCCCCTGAGATGCTCTGAAGAATTCTTCGGCAAGCCTGTAAGTGAATAGACTACTTGGTAGGACCTTGACCTCATGGGTTTGCAGACATCCAGGTCCTGGTGGTCCTTGCACACTTCGGGGAGGATGGCCCTCTCTACCTTTTTCACACAGTTCAGCATGACACAACCAGGCTAAAGGCGCTTGGTTCCTCTGTAGCATAAGTAAAAGAAGCAATGACGTGTGCCTTAGATGTTCCCAGGTGAACTGTTTATGACCCACATGGCTTCTTATGTTTGCAGAGTAAGCACTCACATCTTGGTGCTTGTTAGAGCCTTTTCACAGATGAGGACCCCAAAGTCAACAAGACACTATCTCACCAACAGTTCTGCAAAATTAATTATTCTGCTTTTCAAATAAGGGAACTGAGGCTTAGAAAGAGGCCATGATTTGAACTTTTGAGTTCTCTGACCCCAGAAAACTCACCGCCTCCACTGCATGCCTCACAGAGCCTGGTGTCTGTTGGAACTGTTTGGCATTTTTCATGTTTAACTAGTCAGCTTCATGAGCTTGTCTCCTTGTCTTTCCTGTCACCAAAAAACAAAAACAAAAAACAATTCTTGCTGAAGTAGAAAAACCAAGAGCTTCCTGCCAAATGAACAACTTCCTGATAAGACAAGAGGCCAGGATCTGAGTAGTTAGTGGAGAAGGGACAACAGCTGGATGCTGCTCATCAAGTTGATGTGGGGTGGGGTGGGAGGCCATTCTGCCAACAATATATGCACACTCAGGGGCAGGAATAGCTTTATAGGAGTCAGCAGCTCAGAAGGCTGACGATTGCCACTTGCCACTGGCTGAGTTACAAAGGATGCAGTCTAATTTCCATGTTTCTCAGAGCTTTCCTTCACCCACCGCAGGCACCAGTCCTACTGTTGAAAGGAGAGCAGATGACTGCAAAGAACTGATAAGTGCTGTGATAAGAATTTGTAACTTAAGCATGAGATACTGTAGAAGTACAAAGGGGCAGTTGGCTAAGCTCTTAAAGATAAACTCGTGGTCAAGATGGGGAAATGTTAACTGCTAATACACTCAGGTGATTTCGATGAGTCAAACCATGTAAGCAGACCAGCTAGGATTTGATTGCTTGGTGGTGTTGGGTCGTTAATAGAGACGACCCAGCTCAGAGCTGTCCTGGAAGATAATTAGCGTCCCCACTTAGAGGTTACAGGCATCTTACAACCTGTTCTTTCCAGAATGACACCAACACTTGCCTGCACCCAGAGGGTTGGGTATGAATTGGGTGTAGACGGTAAGCTCCTACAGAGCCTGATCGCCCACGCCAACGGCGGGGTGGGGGGCTGGGATTGCGGTGCACCCATGGGCAGTAGTCACTAGAATCCACTAGAATAGATGAAAACTCAAGGGTCAGGCTTACCTGTGCAGTCACGCGGAGGAGGAGGGACGGCGCCCAACCCGGGCCCTCAGTACCTGGAGTTTCTACTCGCTCCTGCCTTCGCGATCCACAGCGATCTGGAAAACCTGGTGGCGGGCGCGGAGGGGCGTGGCGGAGGGGCGTGGCGGGGGCGTGGCGGAGGGCGTGGCGGGCGCGGAGGGGCGGGGAGGAGAGGGAGAAAGAGCGGAGGGTGTGGCGGCCGCGGAGGGGCGGGGCGGCCGCGGAGGGGCGGGGCGGCCGCGGAGGGGCGGGGCGGCCGCGGAGGGGCGGGGCAGAGGGGCGGGGCGCGCTCAGCTCGGGGCAGCCCACAGGAGACCAACCTCCCCCCAGCCCTGCGGCTCTCAGGAAACAGCTGGGGAAGCACAGTGGTCGGGCAACGCCAAGCTAGGCCCTTGGTCGGAACTTCAAATCTGACCTGGGAAGGCTGTTACCGCTGCCGGGAGGGCAGCAACCCTGGACTAAGCCCACGTGCTCCGTCTGCTACCCACTCCCACCCTCATTGGTTGACGTTAGATTGAAGGGCGGCTCCAAAACAATACCCCGCCCTCCACCCTCAATGGCTGGCTCAGTTCCGAGGCAGCTTTCTGGCCCCGCCTCCAGGCTCGCACCACAGTACGATTGGACAGTTTTGCTCCGGACCAGGCGCAAGCGTTCCATCCCCCGCACCAAGCTCCGCCTCCTCCTGTCAGGGGACGCTTGGTCTTAGCGGGGAGGGAGGGGGTCTAATGAACCTCACCAACCGGCTATGCTTCCATTGGTCTATTCTGACTGGCGGGGCGGGTTCTAGCGCCGAGCTCATCCCTGCTTACGCTTTCATTGGCTCCTTACTGCTCACTCAGCAGTCCTAATCCCGTCCCAGCACTGCCCATTGGCTCGCACTAGTGGAGGAGCTGGAGAGGCAGCCCTCGCCCGAGCTGTGGCGGTTCTGGCGTCCGAGTCGGCGGGGCGAGCGTGGGGCGCTGACATGACGCCTGACGACCCGGAGGAAACCCAGCCGCTCCTGAGGCCTCCGGACCACAGGTGAGTGGCGGGAGAGTCACGGCCCGGGACGCTGCCTTGCCGGGCCCGCCCTCAAGGCCCAGCGGCTCCGCTCACCCTCGGCCCTATCCTCGCAGCAGCGTCCCCCGCAGCCGCCGGGGCTTCCTCGCCGCCTTCGCCGCCTCCCTCGGCCCGCTCAGCTTCGGCTTCGCGCTCGGCTACAGCTCCCCGGCCATCCCGAGCCTGCGGCGCGCCGTGACCCCGGCCCCGCGTCTCGACGACGAGGCGGCCTCCTGGTTCGGGGTGAGATCCCCCGCCCCCGCCCGCCCCCACCCCCCGACGGGCGCCGCCACCCTTCTCCCACCCTCCTTAACGTGGGACCCCACCCCTTCCTTCCGAGGCCCCGGGGCGGAGGCCCGCTCCTCACCCGCGCCCGCCCCGCTCCCAGGCCGTCGTGACCCTGGGCGCCGCGGCGGGGGGCGTGCTGGGCGGCTGGCTCCTGGACCGCGCCGGACGCAAGCTGAGCCTCCTGCTCTGCACCGTGCCCTTCGTCCTCGGTTTTGCCGTCATCACCGGGGCCCAGAATGTGTTGATGCTGCTCGGGGGTCGCCTGCTCACCGGCCTGGCCTGTGGTGTCGCCTCGCTGGTGGCCCCGGTGAGTGTCCCTCCAGCTGCGCCCGCCTGGGTAGATTGGGGCATTATCTCCCCAAGCCCCACCACGCCTCTGGAAGGCACCTGTTATTACCGCCGCTTTCCAGATTAAAAGTAGGCTTCAGAAAAGTGAATTACTGCCGTTGTCTGCAATCCTAGCTACTCTGAGTCGTAGTGGTGTTCATTATAGCAATTCAACCGCATAAGGCGTACAATCAAAAAGCATTGTTGCCACGCACTGGTGGCTCAAGCTTGTAATCCTAGCTACTCAAAGGCTGAGATCTGAGGATCATGGTTCAAAGCCAGCCCAGGCAGGAAAGTCGGTGAGTTTCATCTCCAATGAACCACCAGAAAACTGGAAATGACGCTGGGGCTCAAGTGGTAGAGTACTAGCCTTAAGCAAAAACAGCCTGGGGGGGAGGGGGGGGGAGACAGGGAACAGCATTGTTGTTGGGCACTGGTGGCTCACACCTGTAATCTTAGCTACTCAGGAAGTTGAGCTCTGAGGATCAAGGTTTGAAGATAGCCTGGGCAAGAAAGTTTATGAGACTCATTTCCAATTAATTACCAAAAAGCTGGAAATGGAGCTGTGGCACAGTGGTAGAGTGCCAGCCTTGAGCAAAAGAACTAAGTTCAAGCCCCAGTACCAGCACACACACAGCCACAGCTGTCAGCCATCAGGACATTACTCCAACCCAGTACTGTCCCACTGAGGTGTGCTTGTTTTACTCTACCTGCATGATGGCCTGGCATGGCACCCGTGGATGGTCAGCACAGCCTCACTTTGTGGGTTAAATCCTCCCATTTTCAGGTCACTGACCACCTCCACTTATAAGGAAAATCCTGTTTGTCTCTCTGGCAAAGGCTGCCCATGACCCAGTAATACTCCTCTGCAAGCCCCCATGTTAGGGTCTCTTACCAGGGGGAGCATATTACTCATGAGGTAGTTGTCAGGGTTTCATGAGACTCTGCACCCAAAACCCATGGCCCTGGCATGGTCTGTGGCCCCAAGTGGCTGAAATTACTGGATAACTAGAGAGCTGGCCCCAGGCTAGGAGGACCTTCCACCCAGTCCTCCCCTTGCTGGAGGTTGAAGCATCTTCTCAGGGTGCTCCCTGGGTCCCCCTCAAAGCCCTCATTCATTTCTCCTGTATCCACTAGGAGGCAGAGCTGTAAGGAGGCTGTAAATTTTGTTTTCAGG